TGATGAGTGGTGTATGATGAGTGGTGTATGATGAGTGGTGGTTTGATGAGTGGTGGTTTGATGAGTGGTGTATGATGAGTGGTGGTTGAACAGCTGTTGAATGTCCGTAACACGGAAGTTTTGCACACTAAACTTCCTTTGACCATTGCTGACATCAAGGTCGATAAGGAAACATGAGACCAATGAAGCGGGTATAACAGTGGTATGAAACATAATTACCTCGCAGAGCGGTGATGTGTAGGTATTGAATTTCAATAATTTCCACTATTCTTCCAAACTTCCCACATCCCAAGAACCCACCCACACGTGCCATGTTCCACATTGGTCCGCACTGATGATGCGCTATAGAGCCACGTGCCCGAAAAACTCTAGGAATACAACTGAGCCACTGGAAGTTTGCATGAAAACGAAAGAAAGTTTCTCCGATGTCACTCACATGCATCTTCCTCAGTCACTCAAGCATTCCAAGCGGCAGTAGAATGAGCAGCGCTGAGCAAGCCTTTGCGCCGCTGTATGCCAGCTTCATGAGGACTGTGAAGGTCTCCTGGACTGTTAGGATGGGCTGAACTTTGCCATCCACAGGGCTCTGAGCTTTCGGGAAACTTCGGCGGCTGGGGATATTTCAGGTGGGCAGTGGGCTTAGAATGTTCAAGGTGGAACGATTAGGTGATGACCGCCGCACTACAACCTCAAAAGGTTTTCTCGTGGCCTCACTGATTGAATCTTAGCAGCCACTTGTTCTCGGTGCGTCTGGCGTGTAAACCTGATTCGCGAATTTTGCGGCCGACCAACCTCAATGATGCGGCTGCTGGACTTAGCATCAGCAAATCAGGGTAGCTTCTGCAGAAGAAACTGCGTCATGCCAAATCCTACTTCACCAGGCTAGGAACATGGTAGATATGGACTCAACCATCCAGCTTGATACGTGGATGCGGCACCATCACAGCATATTGCAGCGGGAGGGTAATCAAGCCACAAAGGCGCAAACATGTAGAACAATGTCAACAATGTCTCTTGGCGGGAGGAAGAAATCCACCTTGTTTGCCTGTTATATGCAATTAAGCACATCAAGTGATTGCCGCTGCATATCAACGGCCACCCTTGCACAAAGGTACGAAACACCACGACATTGACATTCCTTGACAAATCCGCGACTCGACAGCTCTCAGAACTCATGGTTCAATTACCAAGCATTTAATTTGCTAATTTTACCGTAAGCATCTCTGGGATTGTCCCGCCCCATTCAATCAAATCAAGGCAATTTCGATGTTGATGCCAACTCACATTGTTGGTGTCGTGGATGAGGGTCGACCCCAAGGGTCAGCAGGTGTGGACATCTTGGCGCCCCTATAATTATGAACGAATGAACCTGTGTCAAATGAAAACTGACCATCCAGTCCGGTTCGCGTCCACTGATGAGGAATCTCCACCCAAGCTGTTTGACTCAATCCATTCGGTCCCCTTGATTCCCGAGAAAACATCTATACGCGGATCGTGTGACACCCATCAAGGAGGGCAAACCCTGCCCCTTTCGACCAGCGGAAGTCGAAGTCGCTTGGGGTCGGCGTTTTCTGCTTAGAGAATCAGCCTGCAACATGGCTTTGCCGGCGGGCTTCGATTTCGCATGTCGAAAAGGCTCCGCCAGCATGGAGTTTTGGTGAGGGCCGGTCACCCGCAACTGACTATGATATTTTTCATGGGTCACCCCCTCTGTGCTTGGTCATGGTTTGATGTGTGGAAAAACTGGAGACGACGAAACACGCGGGAATTCGGACTTCCGCGATGTGTCAGGGGATTGGTCTCGGTTCCGCGATCGCCGGACGTCGTGTTTCCTTGAAATCGACCTCGTGGGGGATCTCAGCTGATGAGGGTTTTAACATTTTCCCAGGGATCCAGTCCAGTCGAACCTGAGGTTCGGTACGACTGGATCCCTAGGCTTTGAGCTTCAGGGATAGAAATAAACCCTAGGGCTCCAAGTGCCTTCTAAGAAGATGTTTGAGGTGGTTTGGAGGGTCCAGTCATACCTTCTGACGAGGTACGACTGGAGCCCAAACGGGAAAAACGAGGATCTGGCCCGATGAGTCCACTATAGGAAACTGCTTTCAGATCGTCAGTATGCAGCAGGATCGAGAAGCGATTCAGCTCCGTGAAAAATCGGTGTCACCACCTAGTGACCCGTCGTCCGTCGTTCCGTACCTGTCCGGTCCCGAAGCAGCGCTGCGCCAGGAGGGTCCAGGTGGAGGTGAAGCGACCAAGCTGATAGGATGGACCCGAACAATGACCTGGACTCGGACAAAAGGTACCCAATGGATTCACATACCTTCTCAGAAGGTACGACTGGACCCTCCTGGCGCCTACAGAACAGTGTCTCCAAATACCTTCTGAGGAGGTACTTGGATCCATAGGGGTATAGACGGTATAGAAGAACATCTTCCATCTTCTTCCATCCCTTTTCTTCGCCCTGTGAGTCTGGAGAGTATCAATTGGAAGAGTACGTACCCTTCTTCTTCTCAGAAGGAAGTTTCGCCCGGTTGAGCGACCCGGTTGAGCGAACTCCTCGCTGAAGACTTCCTCTGCGTTCTCCTCACAGAAGTAGGCGCCACTCTCCTTGGGTCCATGAGGCCGGCATCGAAGCTGTGTCAGTTCATCGAAATAAAGGAGGCAACCAGCTACAAGGGATCCAGATTGCCAAGCCTTACTTATGTCTTCGGATCTTAAAACATGCCGAGGCCAGCCGGATTGCCAAGCCTTACTATATGTCTTCGGATGTTAAAACATGCCGAGGCCAGCCGGATTGCCAAGCCTTGTCTTCGGAGGTTAAAACATGCCGAGGCCAGCCGCCGTCGGAAAAAAGAACTGCAGATCTTTCCCAATCTTTCCCCCCGAAATACATGAAGAGGGACTCCCCAACTGTCTTGAATCAGATTGAACCACTCTACAGCTATATCACTGTGGCCGTCTTTAAGTCAGACCCCAATAAAGGCCTTCCAGGCCTTCCATTCTTCGGTGTCACATGGGCAAAACCCTAGCCAGGCACCTGCTTCTCACCAGGTCTTCTTTCTTCTTCCAAGTCTTTGCTCTCCCACCGTTGCTTTCTCCTCCCCGCCGGACCAACCGCTTCGGGACCTCCGTCTCGGTGGCGCCCCGGGGCGGCAGTCCCAGACGGGTCGCGTCTGGGACCGAAGCCGTCAAGGGTGATCGTTGAATCACTTAGAACGCAGCTGCTACGCATGTCCTTTGGTTCTTTTTCGCCTTGTTTATCCTTTTTCACATGGCTGACCAGGGAAATTATTCAAAATATATGTCCAAACATATTCAAACGATGTTTTAAGTGGCTGTCGGTTACTATAGACCCATGGAGATTCCAGTCAGCCTTTAAAACAACATCTTGAAAACATGTGCATGGAGTTCGCAACATGAAACATGAGTATACACGTGTCCACTGAGCATGTCTGATGTTTTGCTGCATGTAGCAAAACAATCATGGACACACAATGTTTCACTCTGTTTCAAGCAGCTACCCAGTATAGCAGTTAGACCAATGGGTGTAGTCTTTCAATGGCGACCCCCATGAGCGTCTGGGACCATATCAATACCATCCCGTTTGGGCCTCCAGTCGTCTCGCGAAACGTTTCGGTGGGACTGAGGTGGGTCCGAGCCACATAGTGCAGCAGCTCCGCCACCGCGGTCGCGGCCAACTCCCAGGGCGCCGCTGTGGCCGTCTCCAGGTCCAGCTGGTCCGGGGCACTGGCGGCCAAGGCCTGTGCGGACAGCCAAAGGACCGCTGGCCGCGACCTATTGCCCTTGGCCCTTTCCTGCATCAGAATTGGACCCGTCCTTTTGAGGGTGTGTGAGGCACATCATGTCACATCCGGTCCGGTGGTCCAGTGGCCCGGTCACCACCAGTGTCGGTGAAAGACTGTGCAATGGTTAAGGAGAGGCTTTCAACCGTGTGAAGATTGTTGGATTTCAGAAGATCCAACGGCTAGCCTATCAGATGTGGGTGTTCTTGCCCTAGGGATCCAGTCGTACCTTCTCAGAAGGTGATTGGAGACACTGTTATGTAGGTTTGGAGGGTCCAAGTACCTTCTGAGAAGGTACTTGGATCCCTAGGTGGTCACCACCAAAACGAGGCAAGCATGAAATGAGGCCAGCGTGGTGCTGCCACACACCTCGCATGCTGGCTGTTACCACACAAATATGGCTGAACAAAAACCGGTAGGGCTGCAACCACATCCGGAAAAGGTGTTTGGGGTGGCGTTTGGAAGGTCTAACTACCTTCTGAGGGTGAAGTTGGAGCGTTAGAACGAAGTGGATGGCAGCCCCAAGATCCACCCCATTCCGACGACCAAACCAGCCACTTCCTGGGAGACCATGGTTTCCCATGGGAGACCACTGGTGTTTGGATGAAACAGCGGTCCAAACACTAGTGGTGCCATCCCATGGTTGGGATGCCATCCGAGCTCCGAGTACGACCCGAATACACCTCCGCGGCCCCTGAAGCTGACCTTTGCTCGGGGGCTAGTCGTTTCGGTCGTGTTTTCGGTCGCCACCCAAGTGGTCGCGCTGAAAAGCTCTGATTTGTTTGGAAAGAGTTCGGTGAAAACGACCCAACTCCATCTGTCACATGAGGATCTATCAATGATCTGGGGTGCACACTGACCTCCTTACTTGAAGGATTTGCTCTGACGGAAGTGGATTGGTGCCTGAAGCCTATACACTATACTTATCAGGAGCACTTCCTGTGGGTCCTGGACTTCTTCCATCAACACCTGAGAGTCTCCATCTGAAAAACATCATCAACAGCAGAACAGCCGCCCAAGTTACCCCTCCCACAGTCTGCACTTCCACCCGCACCTGCAGCAGCAATGGAATTCCAGCTTGCGCAATGACCTCCAGGTTTTCAAAACAAAGCGCTTCTGCAGGGGAGTGAGACCGAGTGAAGAAACAAGTAAAAATGATAGACATTGATAGATTGTGATAGACTGACCCCCGAGCACTTTTCCCTGGAAAAGAATGTCTATGTCTATAACTGCTTCTCTACCAGCACCTTCAAGTCGGGGTCACCTGGCTGGAAGCCCCAGCCCACTACCATCCGGGATCTCCAAACAGGGCACCCCCTTTGAAGGTCCAAGTGCCTGTTTGTGTTGTTCTTCTCGTCCACGACTGGGTCATGCGTTCGGTCGACGACTTGGGCAGGGGATATCCAATAACTGGACCACGACACTCCGAACACTTGACCGACCTCCACGATTTCATCCATCCGCCGGCGAGCTGATACACCAAGTGATTCTAATAGGTGTGTGTTGAGTCGATCCAACACGATGCAACACGTCAAAACCAGTGAGTTTGCGGTCGCGGTGAGTTCTGAATCAGAAGTTTACCCGGTACGATACAGTATGTTGATCAATTATAAAAGACATAAATATGGGTGTATCATCCTATTATCAGTAGCCGTGGATGATGATGGTTAGGCCCTTCTCTAAAATAGTGACAATGGTTGACCGACTGCCGGTATTAGGACAAACCCAATAAATGCCAGGTTGCTTGATGTAAAAATGTATGCCAGGTTGCTTTCCGAATTAGGTCAAACCCCCCTATTAGGCAACCTATATAATGTATGCCAGGTGGCTTTTCACCGACCCACCGGATTGGTGATTAATTCTTCCACGCCCCAAATCACCAAAGCACCAACTCATGCCTCTTCCAATTCTCTCCACTACTTGTTGACACCTCAACAGTGTTTTTTCATGTTTTTTCTAACCCAATTCGGAATTAGAAGTTTGTTCAAGTTAGCTCACACTCTCTTTTTGAGAGGACGAACAGCGTCAAAGAAAGAAGCGCTTGCACCTCCTGGGCGAAGCTCTCGTTGCCGTGAATGCTTTGCCTTAGCCACTGGGTCAGCTGGGTGTTTTTGTTGGCTCTGAGATCGACCCTCCACGATTGGTTCCAGAGAGTTGATGGCTTATGCTGAGAACGGACATAGATGTAGACAAAACCTTCCTTTGGGATGATTTTTTCTCCACTGACTGACTCATACAGTATGATTTTTGTTCGTGAGTTGACGCCGCCAACCAGTGTGGTTTTACGATCTGTTTTGGCCTGGTCTGTTGGATCTTTGGGATTTGAACCATGAAGCTTGACTGTGCCTGAGGTGTTCCGTGAGCGGTAGCATTTGGAGTTTCATGAACTACGGGACAATGAAAAACAGAAGAGCATCCTCAAATGGCCTGGAACAGTATTTAGTTATATGTATATACTGATACTTAAATACTTCAGTCTATGGTACAACCCTGAAACAGTAAGCATATGTCGGAAAAAGTAGACCATTGTTGGCCATGCCATCCACGCAACCATGATATGTAGTATATGTAAAGTTTTTTGACAAAATAGAAATATCATAACATAATGTAAGGCGATGTAACGTACGTAATAGAATGCGTTGTGATATAATCAATTGTACAGAAACGTTATAATATTCTGGCAAAAAGAAACAAGCAGCGTGATATAATATATGCTGTAATGCACGGAATAATTACCAAAAAAGGTAATGAGTTGCAAAAAATTTAATATAAAGACATATCAAAACATTATACAAATAATGCGAAATCGTGTAGTGTGATGTGAAAAACTATGAAAAACTGAATATATACAAATGTGCTAATGTCATAGTGTGGTGTAACACAAAAATGAACATAACCTAATCTAATATAATGTGACGTAAGATACTATAAGCAAATGTAACAACATATCCCGAAATGCAAAGCGAATGAAAAACAAAACAATATACACAGTATATGTGTGTTCTTCCTTCGATCTTCTTGCCTGAACCCTGTCGAGCACTCAAGATCTGCACCTTTCCATGCACAAAAGTGGTCTCTGTATGTACGTGCGCTGCAGTCAGATCGAAACATTGCTTGCAACGTCGAACTGGCTCTGGCGCGCCTGCAAACTTGACACCTCTGTCAACAATGCCTTTCCAACAATCCCAACAAACTGTCAAGTGTCTGTAGAACTCATCCCAAACAAAGCCCCTTCTAAAAGTTGCCGGTGTAACCACAGTATTCGAAGAGACGAAGTCATTCCCAGCCCTGCTTTGTCAAACACTGCCCATGCCTGGGAATGGAGAGAAGCCCACATAACAGTTCTATCCCAGTCAGAAGCGCTGAACATACAGCGCGCCCGCAACACTGCCACGTCGCCCTTTCTGATTTATTCCTTTGCCGGTCGCTCGCTCGACCAGCGCTTTCACGTCCTGGCTCGTTGAACGAGCAAGAACAATGCCAGCCACGCTGAAGGGTCTCAAAGGAAAACATAGTCCTCCGAACAGCCACGCTCGCCTCTCAACCCAACCCCCCTGCTCTGCTGTGCTGCCACTGAAACTGCCCTGCAAAAGCGAAGGTAAAAAGTCGAGAAACCCTCATCCTGGTGGTCTGTGCCAGCATTGAGCTGGAGGTCAATGACCGCTGAGCATTGACCAGCTCCAGGCTCTCTGCCTTCCCCATGTTCCGCCCTTGGACTTTACTGCTTGAATCGCAACAATCCTCTGCACCAGAACGTCCAGAGCCCTTGACACCCGTTGAAAGGATCCGAAACCTCTGCCAATGTCAGCACTTCTTTCAAGTTTTTTGGCTCCGTCAACCCTGCACGCTGCTGCGCCCAAGCCGCCACCGATGCCTGCCTCAACTGCGAAGTCCGATTGACCGTCCCCTTGGACAGTCTGGCAGACATACCCGCGAGGAAGTGCGCCGTGAGAGCACCGGGGTGTTTGGCTGCGAAGGATAGAAGGTCTCCCTTCTTTTTCAAACGAAGCAAGTCCACATGGCTGATATCCTCGTAGGTCACTTTCCTGTCTTTTCCATCCCCCTTCCATGCAAACATTCTCGCGACTGGGTGAGCTGCTCGAGTCTGAGGATGACCGGCTTTGAGAACGACTGGTGCTGGTGCTTTTGTCTGTTGGCGACGAACGGGATCCCTTCTTCTTCTTCTTCTTCTTCTTCTTCTTGTTCTTCTTCTTCATCCTCTTCTTCTTCTTCCTCTTCTTCTTCTTCTTCGTCTTCGTCTTCTTCCTCTTCCTCTTCCTCTTCCTCTTCCTCTTCCTCCTCTTCTTCTTCTTGTCTTTCTTCCAAGTGTTGCTTTTTTTCTTTGATTTCTTTTTCTCTGAGTCTGAGGTCACTGCCATGGCTTCGAGCTGCTGCACTGCCCGTTCCAATGACAACCTTGGAGCAATGCCTGAAAAACAAATTCACCAGGAACCACAGGACCCAACACAGCAATGCAAGCAACACACGTGCCAGACTTGCAAGCTCCCTGCGACACTCCCAGGCCAATGCTGAAAGGATGTAAAAGGTAAGGTGTTCAACGACCCCTCTGCAAACGCCTCGGTCCGATGAAAGCCACAGAGAGCGAGCCCACCAGCCACCAGTTCCCACTGTCAACGCCAGCGGGAGTGCAACACGGCTCATGGAGCGGCGGAAACAAGAGGGGCGGGCTTGAGCATTAAGTTTCAAATCGAATTCACCCTCCACTTCAATCTCATCAAACACAAACGCCAGTTCACCTTGAAAAGATCTCAATAGTACATACCAAAATTATATAAAGTCTCTTAGCCCTGCACCATCCGTCCTTCCAGAATCCATCCCCTTCCATCCCTTCATCCTTCCAGAAGCCCCAGTGGCAGCAGCACCTTCAGAGCCTTGCTCGACGCCTTGCGCGACGACGCTTCCACGCCCTGGAGCTGCGCTTCGGCCAGGTCCACGGCAGCCACAAGGCGATAGGGAGGTCTCCTTGGGCCCAGGTCGGTTGAGGGTTTTGGAACGGGGGGATGAGGGGGGTTGAGGGTCCCAACTGGAGTGGGGGATGAGGAGGGGGATGTGATGTGATGGGTTTTTCCGTGGAAAATTGGAGATGAGAGTTGCTTCGAAAATTGAACATGCTTTGAGCATCGGACTTAGTCCAACACCAGGAAATTCCAAAGCAGATTTGGAATTTTGTGAATCAAGGGTCTCGCTTTTATTCATGAGATGTCATGATGTGTCATGAATTTTGATTGAATTGGAAGTGGTCGAGTGGAATTCGAGGCCCAAAACCTTGGGGGAAACATGTCAGCGGCCACCTGGCTCCTGCGTCAAAAGGGGTTCTCCATGATCCTGTCAATGGCTGGACAATGGGCTTGCATTATTCCCAATTCAACGTGCTCCCCATGGCATTCTACAAGGAGTTGGGGAACTCCCTCTAGCTCCTGGGTTCCCTGTTTGAAGTTTAATTGATCATATGGATACCCCCGGCTCCTTAACAAAGTAGTTGAGATTGTTTGGGGTCATAAATGACATTCTCAGTACACCGATGCTCCAAGTTCAGCCAATTTCAACAAGCATGGCCGAATGAATCCAATACTAAACACCCAGGAACCTCAAACTCGTGAAGTACCAAGCTTACTAAATCCAACAAGTGTAGAGACACCCTCGGTCGCTTTCCCGATTATTGTCCTCTCTCACCCTGCTCTTCGCTCTGACGCGCCGACGCCGACTCCGCATGCTGACGGCGCACGCGGGCCGCGGCGCCTTGGGAGAGCCTCGAAGTCGTCCGCGTGGCCGAGCACCACGTCCCAGTCCGTCACCAAGACCTGCGCCGTCGTTCCCGCTCAGACGAACGCGCTCTGCGCTCACGCGTCACGTGCAGGGTGAGAGGTCTCTGGCCACGCACGGTGAGAAGAGGCCGTGTGACCGATGGTACGTAGACTGTCATGCTTGGGGCATGTTCAGGGGGCTTCATCAGCAAGCTGGAAGGGAAACACGAAGTCTTGAAGTGCCCTTTGACTGAGGTAGTTACACTCCCAGCTCACAGTAGTTTCACTAGACATGGATGAAATCAAGCATCTGCGTTTGGTATATATATCAGGGTGACATATCTGGCTTTGGTGAAACACCATTTAGATCAACAGCAAAATAGTGGAAGCTTAAAGGTTCCCTAGGGATCCCTATACCTGGAAACCCAAACATCCAGAAACCCTAGGGATCCAAGTACCTTCTCAGAAGGTGATTGGAGACACTCTTATGTAGGTTTTGAGGGTCCAAGTACCTTCTTTCCTCAAACAGCCATTTCCTATGCAAAAGATTTCATTTGCCATATTGGAACGTCTATATGTGTTTCTCGTTAGATAGGGGTTGTTGGTCCAAGCAGTCTATTTCTTTGTCCTTCCTTTCTTCAGTTTGACTCTCACCAAACCTCGGCTTCCAACGGCGAGCTCGCCCCTAGTGGATCTGAATAGGAACCAGCAGCAAAGTCTGTACAAATGCCACAAATCAAAGTCTGTACCAGCACCCTACAACAGGTGTTTCCTGGTGACAACAAATGCCCAGAAACCACCTGTTAGGGTCTCCAAACAGCCTGTTGGAGGGTCCTGGTATGAGCAGTTCCATGCGGCGTGGTGCTAGATAGCCTGTAGCAGTTCCATGCGGCGTGCCATGTCTGGGCGCTGGGGTTCCCATGTCATGGCATGAGAACCAGGAACATGTCATGGCCACCCCCCGCTAGAAAGTTTGGCCCAAGTCCAAAATTCGCCCCATTTGACCTGAGTACTCATCGCCTTTCTGAAAGCATGCTCAACCCCCCTGGATTTAAAGATCATATCACTAATATCACCAATCCCTAATCCTGTGATCCTATGGTCAATTCCATGTTCCCTTCTTGACCACACACCCTGAGATCAACTCCAACTCCGGAACTCCTGCGCCCATGGATGTTCACCTTTTCCACCACCACTTTTTCTCTGTCCGCTGCCTTCTCCCCATCCTCCCACCTTCAAGTCTTCATCTTCATCGTATGCGATGCCGCTCGCCTCGCAAAGACTCGCCAGCTGCTCCTGCAGCCTCCGCGTCAGCACCCGCGATCCCGCGCGGCGTAGAACTGCTCGGGATCCGTGTCCAGTCGTCGTACCGAACAAGCGGGTCGGGTCGGTGGAACGGAAGAGATCAATAGGCCGATACCACCGTGGTTCACGACCGGGGGCAGTATCCCCTCCAGACATCAACCAAGCAATACTGAAGACATGTCAAAGGCCATCTAATTATATTGGATCTACAATGGATCTGCAGTGATATGTTTCTGACATGCCTAATCATGCCTACCCAGAAAGGGTTGTCAATATGTGACATTTGGGGATAGTTTCCCCATCAAACACCCTTTGAGTCGACGACACAGGGTTTTGGGGGACATTCCCATTCCCCGTCCCTACACTACACCTAACCTCGTGGTATTTTCAAGGTAGCAGGTCGTTTGTTGAAGGAGCCTCTGCAATCACGCCGTGGCTCGCCAGAGCGGGTGGAGTCAGACGATCGCTTGGTTTTCGGCCCAAGGACGTGGGGACCGTGGTGCTCGAAGGCTCCAAGTCCGAAACTGCCTGTCTGGGACTGCCATATGTGCCGCCCCATTGACCAAACCACCCCAACTGAGCGGCAGTCCTATGGCCGTCCCATGGAGTGTGGATGGCATGGACCAGACTGACGATGTTCCGAAGACCAAGCTGACTGTGGGTCTCTTCCGAAGTCTTAAAGGCCAAAAATCGATCGAATTCAACACACCAATATCCACCTGGATCCCGGGTCGTTGTGTACAGCGGAGTCCAGCCAGGACACCGGACACCCAAACAGGATGGCCCTGACATGTAGCATGTGTCCAACATGCTTCCAGATCCAGAGTTGCAAGACGATCCTCATTCCAGTTCAAGTCTCCCAGAGACAGTCCCAGCAAAAAAAATACACCAAGGTCAACCAATGGAAGTGGATGTCCCCCAAAGAGTCCCGGAAAAAAAAGAATAAACATTCGGGACCGATGATCAATCCCAGACACGACGGTCCATGTGACTGCCTCCAGGACTGCCGATCAGGCCAGGGATGGTGCCAGGGGGTCTGTCTGGGGCGGCAGTCCGGACTGGCAGTCCCATTAGTCGTGTTTCCCAAATGCTCCATGTATGCTGGAATATACATAGACCCTTTTTCAACCAGCCCTTCATGTAAATATGTTAGTCCCATGAGTCGTGTCTCAGTTTGGACCGAGCCACGGCCCAGGCTCCAGCGCGACTTCCCGCTCGCCGAAGCTGGGATGCGCCACGCGGATGGCGTGCCGTGCTGCGCCACGGGCCATGGGACGATGGAGGAAGTGGAGCCCGACCAAGAAGGGGAGCGGAGATCGGGGACCCAAACTACGTAGTGGGACGGATAGGCGAAGAAGAAGTGTGGCCAAAAACATCCTCTAGGTAGGGCTCCAAGTAGCTTCCAAGGTAAGGTGTTTGGGGTAGGGCTCCAAGTAGCTGCCAGGAACCAGGACTGGACCTTCGTTGGTACTTGGAGTTGTACAAACATTCTGGACTCCATGGACTCCGGTACTGCTTGCATCTTGTTGCCCTCCAACAAGTTTTCAAGGATGTTGTTGTGTTCTTTTTGTATCATGGACATGAAGAAAAACCAGTTTCAGTTGACTGAACAGTGCTAGTGTGGAGAATCCACTTGTTCGACTTGAACAGTCCACCAACGAGAACTTCTGTTTGAATCCCGCGTCCACCGAGCCATCTCTGTCTGTGCTCCGCATGTTTGGTAGTGAACACTGCGTTGGCGTCGCCGAGTGGGTGGCCGCAAGAGAGCCCGGAGTCCCCCGGTTGCCCGTTGGCCTTCCGTTCAACCTGTAAAAAAACATGGTTGACCCGGTTCTGTACACGTAGAATCCTTAGGACAACTCAACGACCCGGTGGTTGGATAGAAACCTGTTTACCATTGAATCCATCGTGGGCCAGGAAGCCTGGGGTGTAGAGTTTGGGCCCCTTTTGCAAGAGTTCCTTAGGAAAATGGGAGCCTATTCTCGAAATCCAGGATCCAAAGACAAGCAAACAACGCTCATCGACGAGAACCTCCTAAAGCTTGGCCCGCTCGTGTGGCACCTATAGAAAACAAAAGGAGTACTAGTAGCGATGCACCTTGTTACTAGTAACGTGCTTGCTACGTTCGTAGTAATGCCAGGAGAAGCTACGTTCGTAGCGATGCACCTAAGCAGCTCCGCTCAGCTCAGCCACGATCAACTCTTCAACATGTTGGAACCCATCTCTCTCCCGTCGACACCAGGTTTGCGTCCCTTGCCGTCGAAAAAGAACCAACCAGCTGGGAGGGCTGGAGACATGGACCACTTGTTTCCTTGGCCAACCGGGTTCCCATGGTCCCATGGTCATGTTTGTTTGCAGGTTGCTCCATGTGACTCTTGGATTTGAAGAGCCTGCTAAATTTTGATCACTTAATCTCCGGATGCTGTAGCTTGGTCGCTACATCCCAACGTCAATCCAAAACTATTGAACATTGACTTGCATAACTTGCCCAAGCAGCTAATTACAGTAACTCACAACGTAACAATGAAGCTTGGACATTGCTGAACAGTCCCCCCCAGCCCTATGACCAATTAAGGTGCCGACTCTCAGTGCAAACAACAACAAAGGGTGAAAACAACTGGCCGCTTTATGATCTTCATGGACAACTGGTTGTCATCAAGTGGTTGATTGCATCCAATCACAATCATGGTTGTTTGTAGGCTTCATGCATTCAAAGAGAACAGAACTATAGTCCCATGGTATAGTTGAGTTGAGAGTAGATGGCCCCATCCTTAAGTTTGGTGGTTCATATATGGACCCCCATCTATGTCTGACCTCTTGGGCCGGAAGGTGCCATCGAAGCTCTGAAACCAAGCAAAACAGGTTGAGAGACCGACCCTAAAACCCTTAGGACCAAGGACCCTGGTCTGTGGTACAGGGATGGGCCCTCTGAACAACCTCTCTAGGAACTACTAAAACAATCTAAAACATATTCCCCAGCAGGGGATTCACCCAGTTCGGGAAAAAACCCACACATCACCTGCCTCAGCCGCCTTCCTAGCCCGAAGCCCCACCCCTCTGGGGCCAACGCCCCATGCGACCCTGCGACACTTGGTCGTGGGGACTTCCCACGCGGGGCGTTGGATCTGAGATCTGCACGGTGTCCATTCGGGCACCAAGCAGTTCGGGTGATTGGAAGGAAAAAGACTAGTCAATTACACCATCTATGCATCATATCTATATGATTCTATATGCCTATACTGCCTATACTGACCCCTGAAACCACCCCAATGTAGGCAAATATGTGGCATAGACGGAGTGTGATAGGGGTGTGTATCAAACGCCCAAACTCCGTGCTGGTACTTGGCTGGTTGCTTGTTAGTCTGGGCTGCAGATTTCTCCCGTGGTTTTCACTTTCCTCCGTCTGCCCCGTCCGTCTGCCTTTGGTGGACCGACGGGTCACGGGGTACGTAACGATGTTCACAGCTTCCCCTCTTCGAAGTGCGGAACCTCTGTTGGCAGCCAACAGATCTAGAGGTTGAAGAACCCGAACTAGGCTATCCCAGTTCGGTACCCTGGTTTTCCGGGTCCTGTTTACGGTCACTTCACCTCTGTTGGTGTCTCCCACGTCACGTGTTCACGAGCCGGCTTTCAGAAGTGGGTGCTTCGATGTGCTGTGTCGCATCCGGGTGATCGACGGGTCGAGACGAAGAGATCGACGGGCCAGGTGGATGTTGGGGTGGTTTCGCCCATCTTCGTCCCATTGGATGGGGCAAATGTGATGTGAATGTGACAAAGGCACCTCCGATCTTCCAATCAGCACGGGCACCGGCACCGATAGATCCTGGTTGTGACTGAACATCTGGACCATCCAATGGGTGTCCAATGGAGAGATCTCACTATAGTTTAAGAAACACACATCACCCGTCTTGAGGGCCCAAAAACATCAAGAGATCGATTTGGTTCAGATTTGCTTCTGGATCTGATGCTCTGAGACTTGCCAAATTTGCTCTGAGACTTGCCAGATTTGCTCTGAGACTTGCCAGGTAAACCACACCCTGAACAACCACACCACTGGAACCAGCATCCATCTGCTGGTTCCACTGGTTCCCCCGTCTGTTCCACCGGCCAAGTCCCGTCCGCCCCGTGCCGCTTTTGTCGGACCGCGAGCTCTCCATACGCACCGTGCTCTCCAGCGGCAGCACCGGTGTCCTGTCGCACTGGCTTAGACACGGGAAGCGACCGGGCGATCCCCCGACCGAAGGTGAGCGATCGATTTCTGAATGGTGGGAAGCTCCATATTCACATGGTGAGGGAACACGACGTCAAGGGAACACCAAGGGAGCCAAAATCGGTCCGGAAACCCCGCAAGTGTCTGAACATGACCATTGCCAACGACCACCCCATCTGAAGACCCTGTCGTCGACCGTGCTTTCTTGTTCCACGTTGTGCTGGGTCGTCCACAGTCGGCTCCAGACTGATCAGTCGCAGCTTCACCCTGCTGGGCTGGGCGAAGCTAACCCCGGGCCAGGCAGGACCGTTCCCCAGTTCCCCGTCGCACTTCCTACGTATAAGGATCTCCAAATGATATGCAATTCCCATTTATAGATGGGCACCAGCTATTTCATGCTAGGAGTCACATGTCGGGGTGGTGTTTTTCTCCAATACTCAGTGAGTGGATGTTGCACCCCGACGACCTCAGGACGTTCGGCACCCCGGGTCTGGTGACTGGCAGTCCTGACTCTCGGAGTGGAGTTCAAACGGATTTCAAGGGGCTGGCAGTTCCAGGTCGTGTCTGGGTTTAAAAGAGATTGCCTTCTTACAGGTCACTTGGACCCTCATTTTACTGGAAATGATGAAACAAAAACACTCCCCAACATACACCTCAGTCTGAGGCTTTCAGAACTCCGAACCCGAACCCTCCCATCACATCCATCCATCCGCGGACTCTCACCACCCATCTCGTCCCCGGTCCAATCTCACCCGCCTCAGCCGCGGCGTTGCTCCAGGGACGCTTGAATTCGCACAAACTCGTTGGGATCCGCGACCTGACACGGTGCGGCTCCGGTGGCGTGGCTCCGCTGGCGATGGCGATGGAGTCTCGGAGGCGGGCGATGGCGGTGTTGAGAGGCGGGCAAGAGCATGTCGGTGTGCTGACTGACGGTGTTCTTGTTAAAATCTCTTTCTGGTCGGAAATGACCTAAAGAAGCTTTGGCATTCGGTGGTTCTAGAAGTGTTATTGCGCAAAGGGGTTCAGCAATCCACTTGGGAGTTATTGAAACGATACCCAAAAACCACGGAAGTGTGGGTAGGAAGACTCGATAAGACTCGTTCTGACTCTTTTGTTCGCTGGTTGCACTGAGCGAAAGTGGCGTTCTGTCCATTCGTCTATTCAATTCTTTTCATCCCTTTTTGCAACTTCTGGTGCTTCAGTTCGGACGCCAGAAATTCGCTGCGCGAGGCGCGCTCAGATTCGGACCGGACCTTTACCTTTCAATTGGAAGGACCGACCTAGCTGCGTGTGAAATCACGGAAGAAAAGCACCGCACCGCCGACGGCGGCGAGACACCCGCTCGACCGCGGCATTCGGCATGGCGGCCTGAAGCATGTGCTTCCGTAGCAAAGCCAGCACCTGGCGCATGGCGGGAGAGGCGAGCAGAGAGGCGAACCGTCAGGCCTAAGAGGATTCCGAAGGGGAAGCTTCCAAAACGCAGCTTGAAACCGGCTGGTGGTGGTATGAATCAAAATACGGATTCTGCACCTGCAGGTCAACAAATCATGGTCCAAGAGGTAAAGCTTCTCCCAGTCCCCTGCAAGCTGGTGTTTTGTTTCGTCCTCCCCACCTGCTACGTCGCCAAAGCACGGGCCCACACGGTCCCGCAGTCCCTCCCCTTCTCCTCTTCAGAACAGCGGGTTTGAATTAGTAACGCCGTGGGGCACCTGCAAGCCCTTCTCCTCTTCCAACTTCGACAAGAACTGGGCCACTTTCTCCAGCCGAAGCTCCTGGCCGACTCGGAGCGCTACGTGCCGGTGCCGTCCGCGGTGGTGCAGCGTGACGGGCGGTTCAGAAAACGGCGGGGTGGCAAACAGTACGACTCCGAAGAAGAAGTTGTGGTTTTTCATCTGTCTTCACTGCATCCGTTTGGCCAACAAAGTTTGGAAGAATCTGAATTCACTGTTTTGGTGAGTCCTGCTTGGTCAAACGTTCGTGAACATGGCCCGCAGTTCATATATGAAGCGTGGGGACTTCGCAGCAAATTACATGATTCGTGGGCTGACGGAGAGTTCTTCACGGTCACGCTGGCATTGAAAATGGTATTCAATGATTTGGATCGTGTGAACAGCATCCTGTACCCTTGCAGGCCGCATCAAATGGCAAGCAGTAGTTTTCATCTATTGGGTTGGATTGCAGTAGTGGCAACCCATCCATCGCATGCTCCAAACATTATGGTCCGAAAATGTCCGAAACATCAATTCCTCAAAGATTGTATAAGGCCAAGTCTTGTGCTGAGGTGGTCGAATCCTGGGTCAGCTGGAAAAGGAAGACTGTTTTTTTGCCTAAAAAGTCCCTATACCTCCAGTCCACCACCCAACGCCCTATCAGCAGAAGTGTAGGACATCCCTGGGACGTGCAAAACCATCCACTCTTCAAATACATTAAAATCGCTGTGGCGTCTCCAATCGGATCCTTCATCTTTCCGTCCTCCTCGGACTCTAGATCTTACCTGGCAGGTGATCCATTCCGGACCTGATCTGGCGCGATTCCCGCCCCTTCCATCGGTGTCTGCCGCGGAAACCGCGAGTCTCGCGAGTCTCCGTTCCCGGCGCCTTCTTCAGCTTTCCCGTCTCGTTGAGCTTGGTGATGCAGTCCACCACCGAGCGCCTGGCGTGGTCGACCCCCGCTGGGCCGGGAAGCGGGCAGGTCTGAGTTCGGGTGGATCTTCCAACGGTTAAGTGACCTGAACTAGGACCCCCATAAAGGGCTCCTGGGGGTACCGAACTATGGCATAGTCTGAGTCGAACAGTCCAGTCGGGTTCTGAAAAACCTCTAGGACCCGGAACTCCTAAAAGTGCCGAACTGGGATAGTCGAACAGTCCAGTCGGGTTCTGAGTCGGATAGTCTGAGTGGATGCTTTTCACTCTTCACTTCAGCCCGTTGCCGCCACCTGATAGAGACCGTGGCTTCCTTGGGCTTCGTGGCCAAGGGTGGCAAGGAGGGCTGCGGCGGCAGGTCCTGGGCCAAGCCGCCAGGAAGGAGGGCTCAGATAAGGAGGGCTCAAGATATCGGTAAATATGCCGAATGACATGCATTTATAAGGAGTAGGTATATTAAAATATGTGTGTTTGGTCCATTGGTTTTTCTCGGCACCCCAAGTGGGTGGTGCTGGTGAAGGTTTTGTGTTTTGGTCTCTCAATGTATTGTCGCACATGTGTTCTTTCGCCTCCTACACCGAAGCATGTGTGCTTTCGCCATGTGCCTCCTACTCTTCGCTCTCGGTTTAAACCTGCACAGGTCTCAGGCCTTCTTCTTCAACTTCTTCAACTGATCTACACTCGGAGGTCTCCCTATTTTAGCACACAACCGGGTGTCACACACCTGATCTGGTAAAACGGTTTGAGGACTCCTGTGCAATTCAATGGATGAGAGAAGGGGCTTGTCAATCAAGTATCATCAAGTCCTACCAACAAAGGTTGAGTGACCTTGTAGGACCCTACAGGGGTATCTATGGGATAGTCACTAGGTCACTAGGGTTCTTCAACCTCTGTTGGTATAGTTTCTCACGTGGAAAAATCACCACGAACATCCACGAACCATCCGGGATCCCTTCACGAAGGGCCCGATGTCAGGCTCGCGGATCTCCACTGGTTCATCCCCTGGACCACCTCCAATGTATGGAATATATGCCTACCTGGACCACCCAATTCAATTTCAAAGCACAAGAACAAAAGTGCCATGCATGCTGGACCAAAAATGCGATATTTAAGAAACACATGAGAGGTAGACGTGGCCCACAAATTCACTTGGATAATAAATAATCTTCTCATTTGTCTGCGGAGGATTGGGCTTGAAAAAACAGCCTGGTCAAGCTGAAGTGTTTGTCAGGTGTTCAATAAGACTTGTTTGACAAATTTTGCAAGTTGCAGCGCATCCAAGAGTTACCCCATGTTGCCCCTTCATCAACCGTTGGAATGCCCAAAGTTGAACTGGAGAGTCTGCTGTGTAGGGCTTCATCAATCATGCACCCGTATTGTGTCCTGTTGCACCAGGTGCAGGTCAAGAACCCCCAAAGAGCACAAAAAAGTATCAAAAAGTGACACTTTTTTGACATGACAGCTCCAACAAGCAGGTTCTTGTTTACCGGCTTTGGTTGCCGTGCAAAGGTTGCTCCAGGTACATTGACACCCCGGCAGATCCCAAACAGGTCGCGTCTGGTTCATCTGAGGTGCTGCTTCAATGAGAGCTCCCAAGTAGTCCAAGAACTGCCTCGGCACAGCGGCACAGCCAACCCAGCAGCCCACCGCCCCCCGGTGGGTCTCGGTACTGAAACAGTGGGGGAGTTTCCCTGGAAGCACCCAGCCCCCTCAATCACCCCACCCGAACCAAAAAACCATTAATTGATCAGTGATGGAGTGATCATGTTGCTTGTATCGTACTACTCCCACATGTCTTTGGTTTGATGTTCTCGCTTTATGAATGGGGGGGACAGCGATCGAACGAAGCCGGGGCAGGGTCGTTTTGTGATTTTCCCGCTTTCTACATGTCCATAAGGCGTAAAAGGCCAAGACTTAAAGCCTGAGGGAAGAGCGGCACCAAAGAGGCACCAATGAAAGCGCCACATATCAGTGTTATATACCTTTGCTACCAGAACCGCACCCCCAAGAAAGAATCAGAAGCACTCAATATACATCAATATACCGTGTTTTCCCCAGGTTGATATCAAAGTAAACCACGAACAAATTCAACCGGTCAGTTTCAAAACACTGACCTTTTGACTGGCAATTCAATATTCAGCTACTTTTAATGAATTCATCCGGTTTGCCCATCCAGGATACATCCACTCCGAGAACCTCAAAAACCCTCCATACAGGGGTCTGCACTCTCATGCCACCCTTTGTGCCCAGACTCTTTGAGCAGAACAAATCCTTAAAGATTCCAATCATGCACTTTCAGTCCAAATCCAGGTCGATCGTAAGCAGCTCAAAAGCTAAGACTTAGTGGCGCGGAAAAACAAAAAAAAAAAACGCTCCCACGCGACTCCGCTCGCGACTCCGCTCGCGACTCCGCTCGCGACTCCGCTCGGTTCGTTCTCCAAGGTCACTGGATGAACTCCAACTCCAACTTGCTGGGGTCCGAGGTGTCTCGCAGCATCCGGCAATATTGCACCTCAGCCGTGGACCCACCGGACCTTCCCGGTCCACCCGCCCAAGGATGACCTTGCCAATGCGATCTGAGAGGGGTTGCGATCAAGGAACCGGTTCTGATTCTTCAGCAGAAGGGGGATTGAACTGATCACAGCAAGGGCTTGTATTTGAATGGGGTGATTTCCCAAGCAAGGGGTGCAAGGGGTCTGCTTTCCTTCTTCCAATGAGTCTTTGGGAGGTCTCCCTATTTTAATACACACCCATATGGAAAAGAACCTTAAGCCTTCACCAGGAATGCCATCTGGGAGGGTTGCTTGGAATCATCCTCATCCCACCCACCGAACAAACCCAGCTTCTTGAGGAAAAGCTCTCCCACTGGCCCTGCCCAGGCCCCAGCGTCTATATGTTCACCGTTTCTTCCACAAATGTCGGAATCCAAAGAAGTATCCTCAAAACACAACAACAATGTTCTAGGATTTTGCCGACACATTGTACAATAATTATACAAGATATTTGGCAATCTTATGCCAGATATTCCTTTTACAATCTGGGGGGACAGATGTTGGCCATATGGGATCTCTTTAAGAAGGAATCTCTTGGCACCGTCCATGTTCCGATCCGGTGATGCACCAACCTGCCTCGACACCGCTCTCTGTTTCGGACTTGCCGGTGTTTCCGAGGCCGTGGCCCAGGACTTCTTGAAGCTGGGCGACAACCGTGCAAAGACCTCGCTTCGTGCGGAAGACAGGTGAGCTCTGCAACATACGTATGATTAAACATACGTATGAGCTCTCCATATGACAAGGCCTTTACTTAGTTCATCTTGGGAGGTTTCTTGCGGTGCTCAGGTGTGCTCTCTTCGGACTGGACGGAGCACCGTTTCCCCCGGGCCACGGATCGAAGACAGGACAAGTCGACGGCACGTGTGACGTGGATCAATGCAATTCAGGACACGGACCTGTCTGGGGCTGGCACCATTGACCTACGATTGACCCGTGTTGAAAAACCACCCCAACTGATCAGCAAACGGCAAAGATGCTAGTTCCATGGAGTGTCTGGGAACCTCTCTTCAAGCTGAAGAGAACAGGACATGGTTGAACTCATCATGCTGCGGCGGATGACCATGGCACCAACTCGGATGACGGAGTGTTCACTCGAGTCGATCAAACAGGTGGGTTTTCACTAACTCCACGTCACCATGATTCTCCACGTCACCATGATTCTTCTTTCAGGAAGGCTATATCCGTCGTATATCCGTTGTACCCAAAGAATCCGGGCCCTCGAATGGGATGGGTTTTGAGGAACCTCAGACCCCTGGCGTTTCGGTGGAGAAGGTCCGACCCTTGCGAAGGTGTCGGGCCCGTTCGGATTCTTAGGGTACAAAGAAAACGAACACTGCTCAACTCCAGCCGTGTCGATGAGACTGCCTTCATTCGGGGAGAACGAACACCCGGTTTGTTCAAGGGGACTCACATGGGAGTTTCGCGTGTTGAATGGAGCCATTCAGTCATTCAGCCACTGGATAACTACCGAACGATATGAGTCAGTTGGTGATCTGCTCATCCCAAGGCAAGGTTGACAGTTGAAAATATCTGAAACCAGCACCCAGGCCAGCTTTGGTGTTGCATACATGTTGGATCCCATGTCAACCCTTCCTATCTACTGGTCCAGCTTTGCAGGATGTCGACTCCATTTCTCCAGCGGGTCTTGGAGAGGCAATATGGTCACCCCATTGACATCAAGAATTCCTGGCAAAGCCATCGTCCTGGGATCTACATGGCAAGCTTGGAGAAGTTGGGGTGAAGGCTTTCTATCTTAGCACTGGACTTGGTCGTGCCTGCATGGCTTAGGAAACAGACCCCTCTACAAAGCTATAAAGGTCTGCACACGACACACGAGGCAAACATGTTTTGTTTGTAGAGTTTTGGAGTCTTGGAGGGAGGAAGGGAGGGAGGGAGGAAGGAAGAGAGAGAGAGAGAGGGAGAACGAAAGGAAAACAAAAACAAAAGAAAGTAAAACAATGATTGAATATGAACGACTTGACAGAAAGGCACCTACAAAAACGGTGGCCCCTTAGTTCCAAGCTAGGGAGGTACTGGGAGATGACGGCGAGCTCCTTTGATCCAAACCCGGGGGGGTGCTGGTCGACGTTGACCCCATGCCGGCGCCCAACACAGAGCGCCCCATCAACCGCACCGGAGGATGTGTTCCCCCGCCTTGACCGCCTCTTGCGGAGCCACTTCTTTCCTTGGAAGCGACAGATGGTGAAGGTGAAGAAGTGCGGCTGCCCCATAGCAGTGGCAGTTTCTGTATGTTTTATCGAGATGGGAGAGCAGAGAGATACCTGATACTCCAAGCAAAGTGCAACAGCAGAAACGGTGTCCTGATGTCAAAGCTGGGTGCCAGTTGGAGGAGAGATACCCCAAAAGGGAAGCCTTAGTGGGGAGGCTCGGGAGAGAGTGCCACTAACATGTTGGAACTCTTGGGAAACATGCGCTTTCCTGCGTTTTGCATTCATGCCCCACTTGGTTTAATTTTTCTTGAAGGGGGAGGCGAGCTTGGAGCCATAGCTGCACAGCCATGATAGCTTTTAACATCCTTTAACAGTTCTTGGTAGATTGTAAGTGCCTGAACATGAGGATGCATTTGTTGAGCACTTGGTCTCCAAGCACCTCCTCCTGCATCCAAGCATCACCTCCTCTGGCACCGCCTTAGGCAGCTCCTTAGGCGTCTGCTTTGGCAGCTCCTAAGGCACCAGATGCAACTGTGTGATGAACAGAATAGATCCCCACACTCAAAATTCATGTGCAGTACATACGGGGGTGGTAGACACTGAGATCTGCACGGTATATAAATGCAATGTGAACGTGAGACAAGCTGAAGCAAAGCTTCGACCTTGCGGAACGGGATTCGCTCCACAGGCACGAAGGAAGCCAAAAGCTGCTGCCCGGCTCTCAGAGAAATGGCTAAGCTCTATTCGTGCCCATGCGGCAAAGGTCGCATCTGACCGTCTGTCCATGTGATTTGCTAGGGCTGCCGGTCCCACGGTCCCGGAGAAATGGTGTCCTGGACTTCCAAGTGTGGAGGGCCATGGAGCAAAAACTGAAGCCCTTTAGAAGCGCGGCCAGCTGATGGATAGGAATTGGCACAGAAGCGCATCATCATAATCCATGGTGACCCGGCAACTATCAGCAACAGAAGTCACTGCAAGGTAGCCCTGCAAGGTAGCCCTGCCGCAGCACACAAGTCACTGCAAGGTGGCCCTGCAGCAGGGCGGCCGGAGGAACCATTGCCCACCGAGTCCCACAAAGCTCGGGACGAGTTTGCCGTTTCACCCGGTCGCCGCCCACAGGTCTCAGCAGGAGTGAACGAAGACCCAACTCATGTGAATCGAGTTTGGGAAACACCGTGCCAACGACTGGAGGTGACTTGAATACCGTGCCAATCGTGAAAGATGGCACTTCCTTCGACATAAAACGGGAGAAGAAAAGAGGACACTTCTTGTTCTTGCGAATGCCCTCAATGAATTGCAAGGAACTAAAATAGTTCCAAGACACTTTCAGACGAGAATCTCCTGAAAGCAGTAGCATTGGAAGATAAGGCCACGGGGCCAAAGCGATATTCTTCAAGTGTTTAACTGTAACTGACTGAAGAGATCCAAGCGCATTATGATATTTAAGTCAGGCTTCATGGTCACTTTCTGGAGGGAAAATGCAACTCTTTCCTTGCGCGCAATATCTCCCAGTGTACATGCAATGAATCCCTGAATGAAGGGAGCATCGCAAAGACCTGATCCTTTTGATCATCTCCAGGATCTCCCTTAGAATCCTTGCCTGAAGCACTTGTCTCTGCCTCTTTGTGGGGTCCAACTTTCGTGAAACTCCCCACCGAGCTGGCTTCTTCCAGCTTCTTCAGTGAATCCATGCACTCTTCGCGCAGATTCTCAACAAGGAGTGCTTGTCTCCATTCTCATCTCAAAAGAAGGGAGTATAATGGGAGTATCATGGAGTATCCTCAATTCTCAAGAGCACAACAAACGCGCTTGAAAGAAGAGTCTTCACCGTTGTCTGTGATGGATGGAATGGTCAGCCACAAATCGACTAAACTCATCCTCATCGATCGACTTTGTTAAGGGCTTGTTCGTTTCAGGAGCCTTCGATTTGATCGCATCAAACAATCATCCGTGTCCTGCCACACGCTTGTAAGACTGAAAGTCCTCCTTCACCGCATGAAGGCTTCCTTGATCAGCTTTTCGTGAAGACCATCACCAAAATTAGAGATGAGCACCCGCAAAATGCGTGGATACTTCACCTCAGATGAAGTAGTGGATTTGAGGGCAGAACTCTTCAAAGCTTCTGCATTCTCCTTCAAATCCTGCTTCAAGGTGGCGCGAGCGGAGCACCCATCAAACTGGTCGCTCCCCCAACCCTGTGGGGTGAGTCAGATGCTTGAGGCCATCGGGACGGCCATTGGGCCAGGTCAAAGGTGAGTGAAGTTCGTGAGTCGAAGGCCACCAACTGTTCACCGCCACTGCCAGGCCACTTGGAGGAGACTATCCTTCCCATTTTGTACAGTAGGAGCTCCGTCAACGAGCTTCTTGATGCAGCCGTTGGGGTAAGAGCTCTCCGAACTCTAAACTAGAGAAGTCGGACACCTACTGAAAAGAAAAACAGATCCTTCCTGAAAGGGCCTTGATTCTTCCACACATCCCACAAACTGCTTCGTTGATGTTCGTTGAAGTTTCGTTGAACTGCGGTTCTCACCAAGTCTCTGAAATTCACCCCTTCCCACTCATCTTCCTTCTCCTTCCCACCCTCTCGCCCCGCCAAAAGCATAGCGCCCCTCTCTCCTTGCGCGGAGGCGGACCCGATCTCGGCGCCGCCTTGGCCGGCAGCCCCGACTTCGCCTGCGGCGCCAGGCCCTTGGGCGGCGCCGAGGGCAGCCGCGGCGGCGAGCGCGAGGCGTTCGCGCGGTGCTTGGGCGGTGGCCCCTTGGGCTGCGGGGGTGGAAAGCGCGGCGGGGACGTGCGCACCGGAGAAGCCATACCTCGGCGAGGAACGAGGAAAGTTGGAGAGAGATAATAAGCACAAATGATGGGATTATATTGGATTGGTGACTACTGTAGGTTGGTTGAGGAGCTCTAAGTGCTTCTGAAGTGGAGAGTAGCTGCTTAGCAACTCTGGACCAACCGGGGCTCCGTGACGGAAAATGATGATAATTCAATCAGGGACACGTGCCGATTCTGCACAAAACGGGGGCCAAAGGCAATTTGTGGGTCATCACCGAGGCATAATCAGGCATAATTCACCAGGGCCCCCTGTTTGGGGGTGTCTAATGAATTCTAATGGTAGCTCCTTAGAGGCTAAAGGGGTGTCCATGAACCACCCCAAACCCAGGGCCCTGGTTGATCATGAGAAACTAGCAAAGAGAGTTCAAGTGAGAAGTGGTCCTCCAACCACTGGATGATGACCTCATGAGAGTGGTTCGAAGATAGCATCCTTTATTCGTTGATTCCTTTGCCTCACGGACAAAAATTCTTTGCTTACTGGCGCTGACTGACCAGGACTTCATAATGTAAGACTCTTGGTTAATAAGCCCTCCTATTTGAATTGGACATGCTCTTAAGTATGGGGGGTCTATTAATCATATCCCTCATAAAAATTGGGGTCCGTAGCGGCCTATGTAAATACTCAGTCTATTCCCCAAACCCCTCCATATGGGGGCTCCGACCCCTCCCGTCGCGTCTGGGTCCTTCGTCCATCACGTCGCCCAGTCGTCCCGCCCTGTCGTCGCCCAGCGGCGTGGAGGGGGACTCTTCGGTGGCACTGGACTGGACTCCTGCGGCCCGGACCCGGAGCGAACGGGAGAACTGGACTCCCCGCCGGGACTGGGACGAAAGGGCAAGAAGCCAGCCGAGGTGGAATAGTGGGGGGGGAAGCGTGGGGTTCTGGTGACACAGCAGGGAGGAAAAGAACACACCAGAAAACACCGTTAACTTAAAAAGAACACCAGATTGGCTGTTCAGTTGGGGTGATGTTCAGAATTTTGTTTGAAGGGTCAATGACAAAGACATTCCATACTTGGATGATCTGAGAGATGGAAAAACAAGGTGTTTCCTGGCGTCTGGCAAGTTTTCGAGATTCGTTGATATATTTGATACCATTTGATCGGGGGCAATCTATTTCGATAAAGGGAGATCGCAGGAGTCCAAGCCCCTCTGGGAAGGTTTGAATATAAATAATAACTTGTCTCAAACAAGCATATCAAAAAGGTGAACAAGGATCTCTTAAACGGTCTACTCCATTTTCTATGGCTTGGGCCATCTCTTCTCAGAACGTGCTTGGGGTGGTGGTTTTGGGAGATTCCCCCCCAAACACGAACTCGCACTTCGCCGTTCGTTCGTGGGCGAGTTCGCTCTCGCTTCGAGTCCGAACGAGTCCGCGAGTCCGCTTTCGTCCGCTGATGTTCTCAGCGGTCAACGTGCGCACGGATGGTCACACTGACAATGTATATTGGATCTAACTATCCTATTAGCTGTAACCGTGGATGATAATGGTTCAGTTGGCCTTGTTCAAATAATAGGTATATTTGTTTACTGACTCTTCCAGGTAATAGGACAACCCCAAAATATATACACTTGACAAAGCCAAATGACCGAGAAGGACCAAGAAGGTACAAAAATCGTCTCCAAATTTGCTTGAGCGGGCACTTCTGACTCCAAGCATCAGTGAAACCCTCAAAACTTTCACCTGAGGTGGTCCATGATTCTGAGGTTCCTTTTCGGACGACAAGTTTAACCGGGTTTGCTCGTCGCCAAATGAAAGATCACCAACTTCAATCGGTTCCTTCTTATCACCTACTTTGAGCATTCTCCAAAAGCTACTTCCTGGCTTGTACTAAAGGACTGATCAACTTTTTGGTTGACCTTATAAAAATACCACGAATATTGGCGTACAGATTAGTTGCCATAAAGCCACATGTTTCCATATGCTATCTGATTCTGATCGTGATTGACAAAAAGACATGCTCTAACCCTCTCCTCCTCTTCCGCCTCTTCAGCGGCTTCCTCGCCCTCAGCCGCCTCGCCCTCCACGGCGTCCTCGCCCTCCTCCGCCTTGTCCTGCTGCCGCGATTCGTGGAAGAGTTCACGCGAGGAAACTCAAACCAGTGGGTGGTTTCAACTCACTTCGTAAATAGATAACCCATGATAACCCTATAAGCATCATTGGACCCGACCACTTCTGGAGGGCATTGACCCTGCAGAACGCAGGGGATTGGACCCTCAAAACCTTCACCTTTGAGGGTTCTTGATTCTCAGGGGAGTCAGTGGGTGTCTGCTCATCCCAAGTCTAAAGCCATTGGTTTTTGATGGACACCGATCTGAAAGCAAACATGTGGCGAAGACGAATCGTGCGGAGATTTGGGGAAGCCAGTGAAACAACATCTGCTCCGTGCCAAAAAATACTCGGCGTCTTTGGGGTTCTGCCAAACATGTGAAGGCGCTGCCAGAGCTGGGCTGGCAGAAGCAATCAAACGTCTGACAATGATCGAAGCAGGACTGATGGTGAGCTCCACTTCGGCTTCGATCCTCACAGAATTCGATCAAACAGTCATGTCATGTCGATTCATGTTGATTCATCGATTTGGGAGGATTTGGGGATTGTAAAACCTCTTACAGAATGGAATCGTTTCATTCAGAATGATCCCTATGATTCATCAAAAGATCCACTTCCATTCTCATTGGAGGGCTACCAAAAAAGGATCAAAAAGGTCTCTCTGATCTCCTGACCGGACCGGCGGCCGATGGCTCGGCCTTCCGTTCGCTTCGGCCGTCTCGGCGCCGCCGGCGCCTCCGGGTGATCCGAGGAGAAGAGAGTCAACGGAGCAGGTGCCTCCGGGCGTGGACGCGGCGCACGGACGAAAGGCACCGGTTTTGAGGGTTCAGCCTCAGAGCGAGTGAAAGGCCAGGAAATATGGCACCCGGGGATCTCTCTCCTGGTTGACGTAGCCTGCGTTTCCAGACCTTCTATTCAGCAAATCAAACAGCGCTTTAGCATCTGACGTAGACTTCCTAGACTTCCTGATCTTCCTGGTTAATAGGGAGCCTCCCAGGCAACGACCCTGGAAGCTTAAGGAGAAATCGATCCGTCTACCCAGCGATGGACGTGAAACGGGGGGTTCACACAGGCCAGGCCATGGCTCCATGGGTCATGGCATCGGGGGACCCTGAGAATGGACGACCCGACTAGTCGCTCCACCTGGCGATCGGTGATCTCACCGGGCTCCGGGTCTTTGCATGACAGGTGGAGCGACCCAGGGAGAAACCGGCTCCGGCTGCCACGTCACCAGCGGAAGCCCCGGTCACCACAGCACGGTCACGACGGGGGCGGGGTCGGTCGGACGAGCGACGCGGGCGGGGGCGGGCTCGGTGGGTGTTGGGCTCGGTGTGTGCATGCGGTCAGCACGAGCTGTCGACTTGACTCAATCTGCCCCTGTTTGGAAGACCCGGGGGTGATTGAGTCCTATACGGTATGGCTATATGATGCTATATGCATGGCTATATGCCCTATATATAGTCTTTAAGCAAAAGACTGACCATGGTTGACCATGTCTTGAAGTCCTTTAGTACAACAAGGGTTGTTTGGTCAGAACCCTTCAAACCCTACACCTCCAGTCGTACCTCCTGAGGTTCGGTATGACTGGACCCTCCTGGCACCCACCCCCAACACATCCAAACACCTTCTCAGAAGGTATAACTGGAGGCCAAACGGGCCTAAGGATTCCCTCTGATTCTGGGAATCCCCGACCAAAAGGCCTCCACTGGGTGCACTGATCCTCCTCCGGTCTCTAGTCTCTAAAGATCTGCCGCTCGCCCTGATCGGTATGTCAAACCCCAACCCTCCGGGTCAAGTGACTGGGTTTGCAAGTCTGAAGCCATGGAACTAGTCCAATCTATGGGACTGGAAGAATGGCTGATAGTTGGGACAATTATAAGATGCATTTGTCAATTGAACGATCAATACGTATGGATAGTCTGGCCAGGGTTGTAACATGTTGTAACCACTTTACACAAAAGCCCTTTTTTCCACATCTGCCCACCACCGACCTCTTGTTCACCAGGTTCCCAACAAAATTCTTGAAAAGGCTCCCAGGAAAAAAAAAGAAAACAAGAGCCTTAAACCTACTGGACCTGTGGCAGAATAAAGATAGTAAAGAAGGCCCTCATTTTCGGAACGGGAACCTGACTTGCAAGGAAGTGTTCCATCTATCCCAACATGATCGAACCGAACAAACTCCACTTAGTTCTTGCTTAAGCAGGGACTCTCACCCAATCCATCGCCTTCCCTTGAAAGGTACCTTTTTCCTGTAAGAACATCATCAAATGAGCATCAATGAACCATAATGATCCGTTCTCCACGGACTTCCTGGCTGCGAAAACAGGAATGGGGGGTGGATTCCAACCGCCTTCATCGCGAAGCTAAGCGGTCCCCCGCCTCTTTCTTCGGTTCGTCCTGCTCGTCGGTGGGCTCGCCACAGCGGAAGCACTCGCGTTGATGCATGCTGTTGAGGCCACCTCGGACTGTTGACGCGTGGCACACGCGGTTAGTAAGAGAAGACCACAAGAAGACCTAGGGTCGGCAGGAGACCCCAAAAAACACGGCGGTTCATGCGTCCATGTCGGTCTTCAGTACCTCACTGGATCATGTATAGCCATATATCTCTATACCAGGACCCTCCAACAGGCTTTTTGGAGACCCTAACAGGTGGTTTCTGGGCACCTGTTGTATATATATATATTATATATCTGTATGGTACCGATCGATCTCTCTCATTCTGACTTCGATCATCGCTTCGATCCTCTCACTTCGGTCACGCCACGACACCGGGTGGAGCCGGCCGTTTTGGACGGTTCGAACGCTTCGTGTGGTGTAGACCCTGGATACCCCTGGGGTTCCGGGTTTGGGGTGGTTCATGGATACCCCGAATCACCTCTAAGGAGCTATAATTAGACACCCCTTAGGGGGCCCGGTATATATACAAGCAAATTCTAGAATCTATAGAAGCAGTGACTCCAAGTAAACCAACAAACATACCATCTGGGATGCCTACAAACGGGCATTGATGTTGATGTCTTCCACCAGTGACTACGGGCTCAAATAGGAACCGCAACTAAGCACTGCAAGAGGGTGCAAAATACTTTGTACCAACAGCCATCAACTTAATTGAGACTCCATGACTATATGCTAGTTAGTTCGGAAAGTTAGCAACCCGTCTTGTATGTATAGCTCCAAAAGTCCAGCCGCTGCAAAGTGTGCAGATCCAATCGCCCTCATTCCTGGCGAAGCGTGGAGTAAGTTGAGAGAAGCGTGGAGTAAGTTGAGAGAAGCGTGGAGTAAGTTGAGAGATCGGTGTGACTCACACACTGTCCAAAAACATAGTGAATAATATAGTGCCCCCTCAGAAAACGACTTTCCTTACCCAGATGACATGGAAAAGGCCTTTGCATGATTACACCTGGGACGATTCACCGTTCCACCTGATGGCAACCGACGAGCTGCTTCCGGGCAGACGCACGATCTCGCTTCCTCGGACCAGTGACCTGGTTTTTGGAGCACCCGGTGCGATCGGAGCCACGACCCGGTGTCCACGGTGTCAACGACTCACCTCTCTCCGTCGACGGAGATCCTCTCGTTTGGACTGCTTCCGCTTCGGGTCAGGTGCGGACCAATCCACGTCGGGACGATCACGGCGTTCTTCCGTCGGGAGGGGGTGACCAACGGTTTCGCCGGTTTCGGGGGTTTCACGGTGGGATGGGACTGCGGGGGGGTGTGGTGAAAATGGGCTGTTTCCGTCTGTTCGGCGCGGCGCGGTTCAAGTGCATCGTCCTTGGACCGGTGGACGGTCCTGGGTTTCTCAGCTTTGCATTTGAAGCACTTCCGACGGAAGGCGAAGTTCAAGGCTTTGCCTTGGCGGCGTTGAAACAGCGAGAACAAACGGTTCCAAACGAGGAAGCAAAGGAGTTCGGAAGCTGGGGTTCCGTTGGATGCAGTTCTCATTCAGTGTTGATTCCGTTTGGATAGGCGGAGTCCTCATGTTCCTCTTAAGCTCCTTGTCTGCAGAATAGGTTTAAAATGGTGTAAAGGTGGCCACAAGTCCTACCAAATCAGGAGTGACAAGCTCACTTCCCTCTATAGCACCACCTGCTTTGTTGAAAGGAAAACTATATAGGTGCTCCGTCGGCCAGTTCGGCCTCAAACTTCGGCCTTTTCAATCCACCAAGTTGCACAAGGAGCAATTCCACTCACCCTGGCCCGAGTGACAAGCGGAGCGCGTTTCGAGCAGCTTGGTGGGCGGTTTTTCGAAAGGCTTCAGATGGCTTCAGGTACCAGCTCAGCTTGGTGAAGTTTCTTGGAGCTGATGATAAACAACTTGTTCTCCAAAAGAACTGCCAGGAAAAAGATACTGCATGAACCACATGAACACCGTGCCGGACCATGCAGCATTGTTGTGTACAGGCATTTCTTTCTTTTTGGGGGGGGCTGAGTCGAGTGCTGGCAGGCGGGCGTTTCGCGAATACTGGAGCTAGGCTTCATAGAGTGAAGATCCATCTTCTTCTGATCCAAATGACAGCCTTCCACTCAACATTGCCTGTGGATCCACATACCTTCTGACATATGGTGATTGGAGACTATTTATATAGGCGCCAGGAGGGCGGGCCCAGTCGTACCGAACCTGAGAAGGTGGATCCAAGAATCCCGAACGGGATTACTGTCTGGAAACCCAATCCCAAGCGCTCAGTTCCATGCAACACATGGATGTCCAGCTCCTCTAGGAACGGGAGAAGAAATAGAAACATCTTCCCCATGCCAGGAGATTTACATGATTTACCCAATCCTGGACATATATAGACATCACCTGATCCCCCCAAAACAAGGACGACGCATGATGCGAACCCTTTTCCATGGCCTTTTCGTGCCTTTTCACCGTTCTTTTTTAGGGATCCAGTCGTACCTTCTCAGGTTCGATACGACTGGACCCTCGCACCTACAGTGTCGAACACATCACCGTACCTGACCAAGTAATTACTTGGACCCCTAGGGTCTGTCGGTTTCTTCTCCCCCGAAGCTTCAGTGCTTTGTCACTCCCAGTTGGATGGCACCGATCTGCAGCTCTTGGAGGCTTGGCAACTCCGCGAGGCCCAAGCAACGTTCGTGCCACTGTAGCAGTCTGGGTCCCGACAAGGACAAGGCATTTTTGAGGGTCAAGCTTTGGAGGTGAGGCAAAGTCAGGTTTTCCAAACTCTGGTTGAAAAAGTGGCCCAAGCTCAAGCTCTCAAGGTTGCCCAAGTCAAGGTGCTCCAGGGTCTGATCGAAACGGCCGCCCAGGTCGAGTTTCTGAAGTGGAGGCAAAACTACTCTCTCGAGACTTTGATTGAACCACCAACCAAAGGTCAGGCTCCTCAAGCTCTTGGGCAAATCAACTCCTTCCAAGCTCTGGTCGAATAATCCACCCAACTCAAGACTCTGAAGGGTGCCAGGCAAAACCACCTTCTCCAAGCTCTGGTTGTAGTAAGAGCCGAAGGTAAGATGAAGTAGGCTCTGGGGCAAAATGACTCGCTGGAGGCTCTGGTTGAAGGAAGCGCCGAAGATCAAACTCTCCAATCTGCTGGGCAAGTGAACGTTCTCCAAACTCTGATTGAAGGAGTAGCCAAACATCAACTTCTGGAGAGAGTTGGGGAAAGTGGCTCGCTCGAGAGTCTGATTGAACTGGCCCCCAAAAGATAACATCTGCAAGCTTCTGGGGAGGATCAGCCCCTCTAAAGTCTGATTGAAACTGTTCCCAAAAACCAAGCTCTGAAGGCTTTCGGGCAAAATGGTTCCCTGCAACATCTGATTGAAGCTGCTTCCGAATGTCAGATTGGTCAGGTTGCCTGGCAAAGCCACTTGCTCCAGACTCCTGTTGAACTTTTGGCTAAAACGAATGCTTTGAAGGCTACTCGGAAAGGCAACTCCTTTCAAACTCTGCTTGAAGTTGTCCACAAATTGCAACTGTCGCAAGCTGGTACTGGCAAATGCGCTCTTACATACATGCTTTGGTCCACTTCGCCATGTAAGATGCTCCAGGCTGCGGGGAAGCGAACCGGCTTCCAGACTTTGGTCAAAACGTCTGCCAAGAAAAAGGCTCCGGAGGCCAGTGGGCAAAGCCACCCTCTCCAAACTCTGATTGAAGCAACAGCCAAATCTCAGGCTCTGAAGGCTTCTGGGCAAATCAACTTGGTCCAAAGTCTGATTGAACTCGTGGCCAAAGGAGAGATTTGTCAAGTTACTTGGAAAGTTCACTCCCTGTAGATGCTGGTTAAATGAGTACCCAAACCTGAGGAATTGCAAACTCTCAGGAAAGGTGATTCCTTTGACACTTTGGTCGAACGAAAAGCCAAATGACAGATTCTGGAGAGTGCTAGGAAACACAACTCCTTCCAGACTCTGATTGAAAGCCTTACCAAAGCTTAGATACTCGAGGCAGCTGGGAAAGGTCACATGCGCCAAACTTTGGCTAAAGTGTGTGCCAAGACTTAGTTGTTGAAGGTTTCTGGGCCAATCTGTCTGCTCCAACGACTGGTTGAAATGCTTTCCAAAAGTCAAACACTGGAGGCTGTCAGGCAAAGTGGTAAAGGCCAAACTCTGCTGGCATGCTCCCTTGAACTTCAAACGTTGCAGCTGGTTAGGCCAGGTCAGGTTGCTGGGTAAAGCAATTCCACTGTGGTAGTAGCTCGGGCGAAAGGCGAGACTCTGCAAGCGACTCTTGTGAATGGCTCTTAGCTGTTCCACCGAAGAGATCCCAGAGACGTAGGTGATTCCCTCCCACGCCTTGGGGTCCTAACGCGATCAACGGCGTGTTGTGAACTCATCGGCCCGAGCGAACGAAGAATCAAACACTAAGAACTCAGCAGGATGACTTGTGCGGATCATCTGGGAAACGTGAATGACTGGTGGCCAAAAAGAGGTGGAGAACCGTGCAGGTGAATCAAGTACAGGTAAGCACACAAAAACAACCTTTGGGTGTCCGGACACTCATGTGTGCCTCTGACGACGTTTTTGTTCGAGCGATGCACGAAGGCAAAGCACTCCCGTCCAACGTCCTGGAGGTCAGCATCGCTGTGTAAAGATCTCCACGCTTCACGCAAGTTGCTGGCTTCATAGATGTAGCTCACAGAGCTCGTTCCAGATGTCAGGCCTTGTTCTTTCAGAGTCTTGTCTGGCATCAGTGCCACCTTAGCTTCACCCGAACCCCACAGATCGAGTTAGATGTCTCTCCTCAAATCCCCAGACACGACCTGTCTGGGACTGCCATAGGACTGCCGATCAGGCCAGGGATGGTGCCAGGAAGGTCAATTGATCGGCATATGTTGGGTCTATCCTAACACCTGTAACAGTGGATGATGATGGTTAGTAAAGGCCTTCTTCAAAAATAGATAAACACAGTAATAATTGTTTACTGACAGACCCAACATATATATATATATATATGGCAGTCCCGCTGGAGTGTGGTCGTGTCTGGGATCTGATCTCATACCAACCTTCTCGAAATCACACCCAGTGGATAAGGAAAAAGATACATGGCAATATTGAGCCCTAGGGATCCAGTCGTACCAAACCTCGGAAGGTGGGACTGGGGTGGTTGAGAGGAGCAAGAAGGTGGTTGAGTGGTGGTCGTTTTTGCTTCCGGGCAACTCCCTGGATCCGGACCGAAACATCCATCCTATCGAGAATCACCGGTCCCCGCTACCCAAACCAGTGCCCACCGGGCAAGGCTCTCTGGGACGAGAAGCCACGTTGGTCGCTCCACCGAGATGCCATACTACCCGAGATGCCACCGTCAGTTCCGTCGAAGGGTTTAGACCCGTTTGGACTGAGGACTTGGGTGTTTTGGTTCACCCTCACCATCTTCGCCCCTTTGAGGGTCCATGATTCTGGACGTATAACCCAGGGCATTGAGGCAAACCACTTTATAGCTCGTAACCAGTGGTTCCAAAGACTAAACCCATAGACCGAACGAATCCCTGGTTCCTTGTTTGCCTGGGATCCACTGGGTCAGGTGAATCAGTGGAAGCATGTATGGCGAGCTGGCCTCCATGAGCGAGCGCCATCCACCATCCGGTCGCCTATGGAACGGTCTTCTTTTTGGAATAGACCGAGATCTTCCTCTCAAGATCTTCCCTTCTGATTTCTTTAGGAGAGTGGCGACGGTGAAGAATGCCAATTCACTCATGTACCATGTATACTCCATGTTCATAGGTTGCTCATGCTGACATCTTCACATTCTCTTACAGTAATTAGTAAATGGTCATAAATCAGCTGCTTCCAAGGGGTCACCAACGGACAACCCTACACCACTAGGATCCTACTAGCCTCTGATGGGCACCCATTGGAAGCGCTAGGAAGAGTCTTCCATCAACATTCGGGCACCGAACACTGTGGTTGGACACCTGCCACTGTGTCCTTTCCATCAAGGACTCACCATCTCCCTTGGGATCTCCTTTGCGGGTCTTTGCGAGCCGTTTTCTGTGGAAAAGAAAGGTCACCCGAGCTTTCCACCTGTCCATTTTGAGGTGGGATGGCATACCAATCCCTGGCTGATCAAAAGGCTTTCGTAGCTAATTTCCATTCACTGAGAGTTGGTGATGTATCTCCAGGACACTGATCCGATCTGCACTGCCACTCGTGCACCAGCCTTCGGTGGAAGGCGGTCGCTGATGATCTGTCGCAGTTTGCAACCCAGTGCCGAGCTGGAGGTACGAACTGTAAAGGCTTCCCCGTCCTAGAGCGAAACGAAGCGGATGAAGCGCTCTACGGAGTTCGAACTCGGTACCACTCCTACCACACCTGACATGGAAGTTGTTTGTGAAAAGCTGTGTGGGAGGAATCATCATGATGTTATTTTGTGTGAAGAACGATCATCATGAGATGATAGGTTCATGCTTTATGATGTGTGATCACTGCTCCCAAATCTACTCACTAAATATAGTCATCCTGGAGTCAATAGAACATGGGAAAATCCGAAAAGACACCATAGGAAGCTGGGCATGCGTTCGGATTGGTTCATATTCTATCTACTCCAGGACCCAAGGGATCCAAGTACCTTCTCAGAAGGTACTTGGACCCTCCAAACCTACATAACAGTGTCTCCAATCACCGTACCTGAGAAGGTACGACTGGATCCCTAGGGGGATGATAGTTTGATCTCTATGGAGCCAAAAAGGTCTTTCTCAAGCAAAGCTGAGGTCTCCAAACCCACCACCTGAATCTCCAGCTCCTCCATCGAGCTCGCCATGGCGGCGAGGAGGGCGATGGCTTCGCCGACCCCGGTGATGGCGAGGTCCCGTGCTCCAGTTTCTTTGAAGTGAAACCATGGTGAAACCCAGCAGTTTTGGAGGTGAAACTCGAGGTCGAGCTCTGAAAAATGCAAGGTACATTCCATTAGACCCTTCATGACCCTTCATTATTGGACCAGGTCCTGTCCTCTTACCTTATACCCCGACATCATGTGGAGAACAGGGGAAATCAATCTCAAACTCTTCAAGTCGAACACCATGGAACCCTTGCTGTCGACCTGGAAACTCCTGCTCTCCATGGTGCAGAATCCACCTGCTTGGAACCAAAAAAACGCTGCAGGCACTGCGGCCGGGTCATGCCAACGCTTCAGGACCAGTCGTCCCCAAAGCCGCCTGAACAGTACTGAGATGCAACTATTGAAGTACCGCATAGTACCACAACCATCCGACTATGTCACTATCTCCATCTTCTCCCCCCACTATCTCCAGCGCCTAATCCCTAACCGCTCTGCAACTCAACACACGGTGAAAGTAACCACCATGAGAAGCATCAGCATCACCCAACAAAAAACCTCCCCAGCACGATGCTTTCCTCCTCCTTGTTCTTCTCCTTCTCCTTCTTCTTCTTCTTCTTTTGCTTCTTCTTCTTCTTCATGCCTTTTGTCTCCCTAAACGACCGGATTCCAACCCCTCTTGCAGGATCCACCATGCTTCCACATCAGTAAGCTGCCCAATTCCTTGCGTCCACTCCTCCGTCCATCGACTTCGCCCTGTCCCACGACGTCGCCCGCGCCTCGTCACGGTCACGCTCGGACCACGTATGGGAGCCTTGGATTTCCCCAGCAAGCTGGGAACAAAAGACATTCCTGTGCCAGGGGGAAAACCCAAACACTCCATGTAACATTGAGGTGGTTGAAAGGGGTCAATGTATGTATCTATGCCAGTCGCATGGAGTGTCTGGGATGTTCGGAAAATGATCAAACATCTATTTTTTCACCATGGATTCACGGGACACTCCCACCTGCCGCTCACCCGAGCCCCTCCGCTCCGCCGTCCCTCCGCGGAGCCGCTCCGCCGAGCCGCTCCGCCGCTGCTTCTTCGAGGGCGGCTCGGCGGGCTCCGGCGGCTCCTCTCCGCGGCCCTGCGGCGAGGGGACCGGTCTGACCGGGGGTGCCGGTGGTGGAGCACAGGTCCTCCTTCGGCAGGGGTGCTGGTGGTGTGCCACTGGCGTGTTGAGGGGGGATCTTCCGAAGTCGAATCGGAAGAGACAGACTGTATGAAGGTATGTTAGTTAGGACCGAGACACCATCATTCACCTATACCTCAAGCACCTTCTCTGGTCAGCCAGGAGGAGTGGCCTTCAAGCCAGCAGGACGGAGATATACAATAGAGTGCATGGGGTGTGCCAGGGCCAGACCGGCTAGGGATGGAGGACATCCGCAACACACTCCGCAACACCCCAGCAGCTCCTGGCCTGACATTCTGGAGGGTGGCAAAGGTCAAGAAAGTGCAACTAGTTGTTGGGGAAGTACTGAATGAGTCTTCACATGGTGTTGACGATTTGCGACCAACTGGTTCGATCATGATGTGTTGATATTTGAGTAAGCCCAGTGGAGAAAGTGGTTTCCACGTTTGAGATCGGTCATGAGTGTCAAATTGAGTTTCTCCGAATGGCGGCTACACCAAATGACCATCCGTTTCGCCATGGCCCTCTGGTGCCATGAAACCAAATAGTCGGGGTCGAAAGTCATTCAAACGCCAATGAAAATGTCTAGTGCTTGATGTTGAAAGTGAAAGTAACCCCCTAAGCAGTTGTGAGCAACCACCTAGTAGTTTCTCCAGCTAGTGACGTGAATGTCTTCCGTCGGGTACTGGAAATTCTGAGGAAAAATTGATGCACCCCCCACTTGACCTAGCTACAAACCCACTTGACATGTGTTTTGCTTGGAAAAGGCCGCATATTGAATCGTTGGTAGTCCAACAATGGAGCTCACTCAGCTTCTAAGGTGCTAGGGTTCAGGCACACTTTTCCGCAAGCTGGTGTAGTGTAGGCGTTCACAAGCCACAATTGCGGCAAGTGAAGTGCTTCACCCTATGATTCTGAAGAATACGATCAAAAAGCTCATGGACCGTGTTCCATCCGGAAAATCCCGGCACTGAAATGAAGATCAAAGGATCTTCAAGCGGATCTTCTACCAGACTCCCTGGGAGGGAAACCCTGAAAGAATATTGCATCCATCTGATCTGAAACATGATCCCTGGGCTGCAGATGCGAGCATCTGGTACAGGCTGAGATCTATATGTATCATTAATACGTTAAAACGATCAAACACCGCCCACCACACACCAACACAACGCGCAGATCGGACCTAAATGTTGGGATCAGACTCAGATCCCCAACCAGAGCCGAGTGTGTTTGCTTCACCCTGCCCGCCTGAGGTGTGTCTGCCTCGCCTTTCCAAGCCTCCGCATCCTGGCGGATCGGAAATTCCGCCACGCGGAGCGGAGCGGAGCGGAGCTTCGTGTCGGTGGATCGAGGGAGCCACGAGTCCGTCCGGTGGCGATTGGGAGGAAGAACGAGGGAAGCAAAGCCCAGGACTCTGAGTTCGTCGAAGAACTGCTCTGATCTATATATGAGTAGGTGAAAAACCTCAAACCTTGGGTGGTGCCAAACATCGTCGAGCTATCTGGACTTCTAGGGAGAGTTCAAATTCAGCTCTACCTGAACCACAGAGGTCTCACCGGGCCTCCCAGGCCCGTTGTGGCTGGCAAAGTCTCATTGGACCACCCCATTGACTCTGAAATCAACCACCCAAACTGATCGGTAAGTCTCATGCTCTGGGTCTGGTTATGTTGTTGCCCAAATCGGAGCGCGTTGCACGGAGGATTTCACAGTGGTGAGAAAGAAAACAGCTACAGTATATCTGCTTTCAAGCCCAAGGAATTGACACTCCTCACCAACTGGGCAGCCACCCTGCGCCTCCATCTCAATCAAACACATCAATGGGAATGAGGCTTATTAATTGAACAAGGTTCATGGGCCCCGGCAGGGCTTACATCAAGCAATGACCGTGTTTGACCTCCTACACCCACACCGCCGAAATCCACAAAAAAAAAGAACTCCAAGTTCATGAATCTGGTTGGAGCCTCACCAAAGATAACCAACCAAACATAAACAGCACGGATTCGACCTAGACCACTTACACAAACGGAGAAAATCGTCACGTCGTTCATTTGGCCGCCTCTGGAATATCTTTCTCATCCTTCCACTTGTCAGGATCCTCATCAAGGTCAAGACTTCCGGAGCTTGGGGCATCCATGTTGATCCTGTTCCCAGGGTCGTAAGTGAAGGTGTATCATGTGTAGATCCGGGCCCCACCAGGGCCGTACTCCGATCTCATGATTCTACTTGAAAACTCTTGGGTGGAGGTGACAGCCGAAGTGTGCTGAGCTTATATGGTTCAAACAAAAATGGTCAGCGAGGTTCCGAAGACCTGCTCAAGCGTGCAGCGTAAGGCCCTATTTTGTCATGCCTGTACCACATTGTCATTATTGCCTGAGTGATATATGAGTAACGGACCACGTGATCGAGGTAATACCATCGGCCATGAGAAAACGGGATTGGCCCATATATGCTTGTGATAGTTGACCCCTCTTGGAATTTCACCATGTTTCAGAATGTGTCATATGAAAGCTTCATGCACACTGTTGAGAACTCAAACCTGTCCTTCTTGGGCCAACTGCGAAATCCTCCAGGACCCATGGGTGCTTCGCGCTCGTCCCAACACCCCCCGGCGGGGGAATAACGTGTTGCTGAGCCCCCCCGGCTGGGCTGGTAGGTCTAGCCAGGTGCGCCTGAGAGCCGAGACGGAGAGGAGCCGTAGAAGAGGAGCAAATGGGCACTGCACGGCATGCAATTCGATGGTCAGTCCATGTCGTTTCATGAAAGGTGGTGCCTGAAGCTGGAAGATGGGCGATCAGGCTTTTTGGAGGGACGCAACACATGGAAACCAACGGTCTGAATCCCTTCTGTTACGAGTGTTTAGACTACAAAACCAGGTCTTTCCCATTCTCTTAATGGTCGAGCTGAAGGCTTCACGGGTTTTTGTATTCCAAGAGAGCCTTGAGGTCAAGTCTTGCAAAAGAAGGATCAAGTCTGATGGCATCTTCATGGGGATCCTCATTCACCTCGACATTCGGTCAGTCTTGTTGTTCCCAAAAGTCCGTGGCCTACGGAGGACAGACCTATACTACTATACCTTAGAAGTCTAACCACCATGCATTAAATTATGTAATATTATATACATATTTATAGCCTGAATCCCGGACCACCGGCTGTTAAGGGTTTTTCACCAAAAGAGTCAAGACTGGACTTCCAGGGTCAACGTATCTCGTGAAGGCTAAAAGCTCCTCGGTGCGTGGAAGCCTTTTGGGCTTTTCTGGTTGAATGGTTTTCCCAAAAACTGGGCACTCTGCGACACTCTGGTCGAAGCACCCCTTTGAAATCCTTTGGAACTCCTGGATTGTCCACATCAGTTCTCATCGGAACTCTTCAAACGGTCAACCGGGGGCTTTATATAGAGTGCTTTTCCCATGCGCATCATGGGTCTGCTGAGCCGGTAGAGCCTAAAAAGCAACCCAAAAAGGTCCAAGTCCAACGTGCGAAAACGGCCCGGGAGTTCGGAGGCCTCATCGTCTTCTCTCCAATCGCTTGCACCACTCTTCTCATCCTGACCGCAAGAGATGGCATACCAGTGCCACTCACTCTTGCCTTGTAACAGGCGTTTAACCGTTTAACCCCATACAAGACTACGATCTGTTCAGTGGCAAAGGGCAGAATAGTATGGGGAGTGTTGAAAATACAAACAAAATTGTTGGATTGCAGGGGCATCCCGGCGAGTTGTGTTTTGTGTCTCTTCATTTTGAGAATGTCATGAAGCTTTCACGGGGCACTTTGCACACCAGCATTTTCCCAGCTGCAATGCCCTGGATTGCATCAGGGCTTTGTCACTGGCGGTTGATGCTAAGCATTACTGGTTGTCTTGGATTTGTCAAAAAGTTGGTATAGGGACAGCAGGACAACCATGGTAATCCTTCATGTTTCTCTAACTGGTTCTCTTGAGTAACTTTTGTGATAAATACACTCCCGTACACTCCCACTCACTAACATAGAAGTGGAACACCCCCTGTTAGTAGAGCAAAAATGGTCTGTCCAGGGCCTATGCCATCCACGTAACCATGTGATGTGTTCCTCAGAGCTGTAAAGACTCTTGCTATCCCTACAGTCCCTACAGCTTCCTTGGCGCCTCCGCATGGTTCACCAGCTTCTCTGACCATCCCATCTACATAGACAGCGCAGGCCGGCGGGCAGCGGACCACGTCCAGTGTCCGAAACGGGAAGAGGCGGGGTTGTCGGACGTCGGTGCTGTCCAACCAGCAGCGAGTGTTGCTCAACTCCCCCAAAAAACCACAGGTTACACCATGTGTGCATTCAACTGCCGCCTTGTGTAGGGATCATAGGCTCACAATAGTATACATCACAATTTGGTTCACAGTTCCAAGTTCATATCTAGTGCATCACGATGTGAACTCTTGAACCTGCCAGCCCGCACCGAACCAGACCAACCGCCGGCCGTCCAACCGCCCACCACCGAAACCGCCCGTCCCACGATCTCGGCCGTTTTTGGCGTTGGTCTTCGATCTCCCATTGTCCCGATCCAACCGAGCGTGGCGCCCGGTTCGGCATGGCCGGTTCGGCGTGGTTCTCCGTTCGGCGTGGCCGGCCTCGTTCTCCACGGTGTCCCGTTCTCTCTGCCATGCATTCTCCTCATCCTGGAGGAAAGCGAACAGCTGCGAGACGTGAGGGCGCAAAGCCGCCGCGTCCCGGACGGGGGCGAAAACGAAGCAGGACCGTCTACACAGGACTGTCTACAAGGCACCACTCAGGACATGGGTGGTGATTGGATAGAAAGGGTATACCATATATAGGTCAAGGCACCACTCAGTTTGGGTGGTGATTGGATGGAAAGTACCATATATAGGTCTACAAAGTACCAACTTGTTCAGGACATGAGATGCCTTGACATACCATACCCCCCATCCCGAGACTCCATCCCCGGTCGGTCTGAAGTGCGTTTGTTGGTTCCTTCTTGGTGCGCGAAGTCAAGCGGGCGAAAGCCGTGAGCCACGTGGGTGCGAGATCGACCAGGCAGATGGGGAGAGGTCCCAAACCTCGGGGTGTTGAGATCGTACCACAGACCTCTTGGTCATAAACTAACATGGACCCTGAGAATGGGACCCAGGAAAGAGCGTTTTCCTGTACAAACCAGTGGTTTTCAGGGTCTTTGTTAGTTTTCCACGGGGTACCTCTTGGTCATAAAATCACATGGAACCTGACACCCACGCCCGGTTTGTAGAGGAAAATCATCTTCCAGTCTGGTCCATGTTCAGGTTCCATGTGCATGTTCCCGGGTGTACCTCTTGGTCATACACTTGGGGGTATCAACCAATGGTCAAACCAACCAACCAACCAACCAATGGTCAAAAGCCATCTATGGTTTCCGACTGGTCGCAAGGACTACTCCCCGTTCATGGCGCTCGTCCAGCTGTCCTCGCCGCGATCTTCCCAGTGTCCATTCTCTTCCCATTTGTCCTTCCTCGGGCTCAACACACAGCGTCAGGCGCGTTAAGGATCCGAACCACCGTAAGATGCTTACACTCTGACTCACGAACATGGAATGTCTTACTAGAATCTCCTCTAAATGTCTAAAAGTAATGGGTTTTCCACTTCCACGTTGTGAATGGAAGTGCACCGGTCCTGTTCTCTGCTTAACAATGGAGCCATCTAAACACCATAACATGCGAAGCCCCTCTTGAGTTGATGCGAACAATTCACAGTAGTGCAGGCTTACAAGTGGATGACCTATTACTCAATTCTGGGCAAAACTACGAGGTTCTTGTTCCATGAGTTCATAGTCAGACTCATCAGACTCATAGGAGTTGGTTGTTCATCACAGACTCGTAAAAGTGTATACGAATGTCTTTTCCTCAACATCTCTCAGAAACAATTCTCTGGGTGGACTTCCAAAAGGGACGACCCCCTTTTCGTCATCGTCGCTTCAAAGTCCTTTGATTCCAAGGCACCCAGTATTGCGTTTCCGCCACCTCCAGGCGTCAAGGAGGTGCGGATGATGTGGTCGCAGTGCTGACATTGGACCCTAGAATCCATGAGTTTAGATGGCAATGGTTTTAATATGAATGTGTTAATCTACCTAGAGCCCATTTGACCTCTGTTTTGATAGGAAAAGGCAATATTTTTGGGTGGTTGGTGATCCAAAATAGAGGTCATTCAGGTTCTAGGTATATACTAGTATATATATATATATATATGTTTCATCCTTCAGAAGGTCTTTGGGAACTGCGTGCTTACATCTACAGACCACCTACTGATGGGATGTCTTGTTTGACATTTATCAAAGCGCAGTTGATCCCAGTTGAGGGACTTGAAGGACACTCTTGTTTGACGAATCCCTTGCGTGATAGCAAGGAGAGTCTTGTGCGAGACCTTCGCTTCACATTCTTTTGTGCAACACTGCTGTACAACATTGTTCGGGGACGCTCTTGTTCGACGCTCTTGTGAACATGTGCCGTGCACCACTAAAAGCACTGTCCACTCTTGGTTGAAACCTGTCGCGACACTCGTAGGACGCGACACGAACGAACGCGGAACAACGCTCGCTGCGACACTCTTGCTCGACGCACCGACACGTGACGGCAGCCCACTGGGCGGGACGGACACGTGACGGACACTCTTCGAGTCCGGACGGGGCTTCGCCGGATCCTGACCGGTTAGGCGCCACGGGGCTGCGAACGTTGGGCACATGGGAGTGCTTCTCCATGTCCGGTACCACTGCCTGTAGCTTGGCGAAACTCGACTCGCCCTGACTGAGTCGATCCTGGTCCGCAGCCGTTTCCTCGAAGCTTGAGAGCTAAGGAGACCGAGAGCAAGCGGATCACGGGACGCCTGCGTTTGAGATACTGCCAGGCTGAGTCATCCAGCAAGTTATGCTTGCATCCAATGTTTTGACATGCAATGCAATCAGCTTCCCGCGTTGCATCTCTGAAGACATCGAGCAATGCACAACATGAACGTGGAAGGGAATTCCCTCAACATGTCTCCATGGGATTGCTCAAAGTGAGTGTTGGGGTCACAGGCACTGAAGCATTCACAAAAAGATAACAAAAAAGAAAAACTACCTGACAACGCAAATCCCGATGGCAGGGCGACGTCAAGTGCTGACCACACAAAACACTGCACCTGCGCAACGTGTCTGCACTATTTCACACGAATCTGACACCTCATGCTTCCATCCAAGACCTCCTCCAAACGCTTCCCCCAACAGGAGGGCCATGTTCATCACACTGCAAAACGTTTCCCCAAACAGGTTTCCAAAATGAAAGCAACGTGGTACGAACCAGGCTATAGTCACCCCCAGACTGAGTTCAAGGCTCAGCACCCTTCACTACTTATTTATGACTCTTGAGGACCAGAAAACCCACCCATTTGAATTGGACATCCTCTTCATATGGGGGGTTTATGGTCCTCAAGAGTCTACAGAGTCTACATGAGACGCTCCTTGCGGCAAAAATATGCACAAAACTATGCACAAAACCAGATCTGATGGACTCCAGCATCGATCAAACCATCAAACGGCCGATCTTCAAATGTGTGTGCACCACCTTGGTTAGTCCAAGCGCTCCGCGCGAGAATGGTATGCTGAAAGATGTGCAAATGTTGAAACTCCATCTTTTCTAAGAAGCTGGGGCTAGGAAATGGGCTTTGAAGTTCCCGACACAAGCCCATTCTCTTCCCCGACACACGCACGTAAGCCCACGCTGCTTTCGTCACTGGAACGCCGTCTCACGGACCGGACGACTCGACGGAAGACGACGACGCGTTCAACGCCACGTTCGACGACAACCCGAACTCGAGCTCCGCGCTTCTGCCGTTGCTTCTTCGCCCACTTCTTTGGATCCCTCCAAGGGGTCTTGCACTTGGGACACTCCTGGAGAGAACGATCTGTACGGAGAGAACGAGAGGAGATGGATGCGGAGATGGATGCGGAGATGAGAGTGGGTGGGTGTTTTCGTAGAACCAGATTCACAGTGGAAGTGGACATAGTGGACAAGCTCAGCCACTGGAAGAGGACTTTCTTCTACAGGGGGCGCCATCCATTTTGATGTGATGTGTTGCTGGCTGAGTTGAGCAAGTTGAAACATCCTTGCTCCTCTTCAGATCGATGCCCGGATCTAAGTGGAAATTCCGAATTAGGCCTTCCAGTGACCTAATTTGTCTATAGCGACCCTCAACTATAGATAATATAGATATGCTTTTGGACCATGAATATCGATATCATCATGCTCCACATGGTTTTCCATCCATTCTTAGGGACTTCTGAACCCTAGACTCGGATAGACTCAGGCTGAACGCCCTGAATGCCAGACTGAACACATCTGGCAGTGGGTCCAAATCAGAGCTTGGATTTTCCCACCAAACATGAACAGAGTAGAGGTCAACAGCTCTCTGGGCTCAAAGCTCTGGGGCTCACGCTCCACGGGAGCCGGGGCCTTTTGGTCACCCGCGAGGGTGGTGGAAGGCGTCCACAGAGGTGACTTCCTTTGTCACCCCCTTTTTTCCATTAGGACTCTTGACCTCTTGCCTTTCCTAGGATCGTGCCATGGACCAAGGTTTCAATTGTGAATTGCTGGCTGAGCCGTGGCGTTCGCGCGCCACGTCGATTCTGCATGGTATTGAAGATGGCCTTTCCATGACCTGGGAACACTGTGAGATCATTTGTGGAACCTTTTGGAACCAAATTGAGGACAGCTTTGACATTTCGCTTCATCCTTTCGTTCGGGGGAAGGGATTTTGTTTTGACTGTCAAGCTGCTGAGACGAAGGTTGTGGTTCATGATGCTGCGAAGAGGTCCCTTAACCTCAATGCTGGTGATGGTTGCATTTTCTCTGGACCTCTCAGGAGGTTGACTGATGGATCTTGGGTTGGTGACAGTTCTGTCACGATCACCAAACGCACTTTGGTTGACCCTCAGGATGCTGTCGAGTGTTTTCACTTCTTTGCTGGAGCTTTTTCGGGGTGGGGACAGGCCCTTTCCACCATCCCGATGATATGGCCTCATGCCACTGTGGGAACTCAGACATTCCTTGACCTGGATCCGAATGTGGCCGACGCCCTGGCTTTCAAGCACGGCTCCAAGAAAGTTATTGCACCGCTGCAAGCTCGCCAAGTTTTCGAGGTGACTTTGAACCGAGTAATTCAAGCTGATGTTGCGGATTTTTCTATCTTGCACGCTGTACAGCCTACTTCGAACATGGTGTACAAAGCTTCTCCACCGTGCATCTCCTGGAGCAAAGGCGGCTATGGCAAAGGCCTTAGCTGCCCTGAGGGTTGGGCGTTTCTGGACCTGGTCCTTCAATGCGCTCGAGGTCAACCAATCCTCTTAGCGGTAGAATGTGTAGACGAACTGCCTCGGCACCCGCATTTTAAGCTCATCCAGTCGTTGCTGCGCAGCATCGGTTTCATTAGCCTGTGGGAGGATGTGTCGCATTATCACTCTTTTGTCCACATGGTGCGGTCTCGATGGCTCGCAGTCTTTGTCCGTCAGGATGTCTACCATGTCGGTGATCGGCCGGCCCCAGTCCTCAGGTCCCAGCACATTGATCGATGGACTTCGGATTGCTTTCGATTTGACCTTCCAACTCGCCTTGCAAGCAGACTTTCGGTCTCTCATAGTGTCCGTCCAGCTTATGCTCAGCATTCGCTTTTGCCGCCTGCTAAGAGATCCAAGATTGCACCGAACGCTCCAGCTGAGGTCATCTTGCAGACTCGTTTTCTTCGACCACACGAACCGGTGCCTACAGTTTGCGCTTCGTATGGCTTCCAGCATCTTTTGCCCATTCACCTCTTGGAGCAGAAGGGCATCTTCGCTACTCTCAAAGAAGGTGAGGCTGGACCTGAGTTTCTGGACCCTGCCATGTTGGCCTCCATGCTTGGTCTATTTGAGACTACGGTTCTGTCAAATCAGCTTCAGCTCCTTTATCGGCAGATTGGGAATGCTATTGCTTCACCACAGGCTCTTCTGGCACTCTTGACTGGCCTCAGCCATGTGTTCCACTGGAAAGTCAATATCAACGACGCCATTACTCAGGCTTGGGGCCAACGAATTGCTGGACCCAAAGCTGTCATCATCGAGCAAGACAATTTCTACATCTTTGCACGAGTTGGGGACATCATTGATCAGATCAACATCCACAGTGATCTCGATTCCGGCACAAACATGCGCCTTCGATGCACACATGTCAATGGTAGGATCAGTGCCATCTCTGCCCAAGCACAATGGCAGCTAGCAGACCTCCTGCGGTGCTTCTCATGGAAGTTTGACATTGCCAGCCACGTCTACCTTGCTGCGACTGGTGAGAAATTGCATCCTTGGCAACATCTTGATGACCTATTTGCCCAATGTGACAGGTGGACCCTCTTTGCCAAGGGTTACCCAATTGTGTACTTGACCATTCTTGGCCACCAAGCACTTGATGAAGCTACACAACGCTGGCAAGCTGATGATCTTCCAGTGCCACTTCCGGCTCTTGCGAGTGCTCCATGCTGTCTTCGTCTTCTTTCCGATGATGAGCTATTCGAGGACCAGCATTTTCAGTTTGCACTGTCATACATTGAGCACCACTGCCTTGCTATGTCTCCGGATGCAGCTCCAACGTTCACAATTGCCTTTGGGCCACTCCCTTGCACTGTGGCTCTCTGTGGTCTCAGCAGTCAGCAGGACCGTCAACTCTGCCTCCATGAGTTTTGGGACCATCTTGACCAGGGCTTGCATCAGTATGCATTCAAACTCATTGAAACCATTGACGGCAATCTGCCGGTGCCCTTTGGAGTCATTTTCCGCAAGCATACAGAAGACAAGTTGGTATTAGTCCGCTTTGGTACTGATCGGGATCTCTGCGGCTTCTATGCTCCTTCCTGGATCTACTCCCTTGAGTTCAAGTTGGGCACTGGGAGTTACCGACTACTCACCTGCAACGGCCAGTCCATTGAGCAGATGCCTTTTCACCTTGATCATGGGGACTTTCTCCACCTCTCCCTGAAAGATGAGATCCACTGTGGAGGGCATCATGGCTCCAGGACTACTACCCTCCCTGCCAATGCCAATCTTCTTCAACGTGCTGAATTTGCAAGCAATACGGGAGGTTGGCTTGCTTCCGATGAGATGGCTTTCTTCTTGAGACAGTTGACATGGCTGGCACCTGAGTTTGCCATTTTTCACCCAGCTGTCCGGTGGAATCTTGAGACTGCCAATCTTGATGAGAACGACTACCAAGAGATCTTGATTGCCAACAACCGCCTCAATGTGCTGCCTATCCTTTCTGGGTCGCATTGGCTTGCCTTCGAGATCCAAAGAGAAGGACCCGACACGCATGTCACCTTTGTTGGGCTCCCGGGACCACTGCTCAGAAGCGGCCTTCAGGTTGTTGCTCGACTCCTTGACGTCAGTCCTGATCGACTCCAGTACAGCCATGTGCCTCTGGACGATGCAGCCCACTTTTGTGGCTGGGCCCTTCTTCATCGATGGGCAATGGCGGCGGGAGTCCTTGAGAACCTCCCTCTCAACAGTGAGCTGTATGCTTCTACTTCCATTGCAGTTCGAGCTCTCATCGACGATGTCATCGAGGATGCAATTGAGGATTGGAATCAGAGTGGCATTGCCCATGGTCTTTGGTTCTTTGCAGCTGCGCTCCGTCGTGCCTTTTTCAGCTTCTTGGCTACCACAACCCTTCGTGGCAATGCAGTGACACAAGAAGCCATCGTTGTCACCTTTGATGATATCCCGAACACTGCTGACCAGCTTGAGACGCCATCTATTCACATCGATAGCCCTGACAGTCACTTGCATCACCGCATTCAGCATTTCAACCACTACCCGGGCTGGCTGGGTTCTGACGAGCTGGACTTTATCCTTCAGGCAATCCGTTTTCAAAGACCACTGACCTGTTTCATGCCGCCTGCGAGATGGGACCATACCACAGGTCACTTCGTCTATTTCGATGCCCACTGGCGCGACTTCAGGGCCTACAACAACGTCACCTGGTTCCTCCTTGTTGATCAGTGCTGGACTCAAATTGATGCGGCCATCAATGCTGATACGATTGCTCTCTATATGAGTCTCCCTGATGCCATGGCTCATTTAGCTGGACCGATTGCAACTTTCATCATGACTCAGATTGATGAGGCCCAGCTCACCTGCCAGGTCCACATTGTCAGATGCAACCCCGAGCCTAACATGTGTGGATGGGTCCTCCTGCATTCCCTTTGTGAGAGACTTCGTATTGCCATCCCACCGCTGGCCAATGAAGTGCAGCACACTATCAACCTCTCCAGGTTCCGGGTCCAGATCAGAAGCACCATTGAGCGAGCTCGAATGGTTTGGCAGCTCTCGTCTTCTTTTCCGCGCATCATCAACTTTGCGAGTCTGGTCCGAACCATCTTTCTTCACCACCTCCTCGCTGATCGTGGGGCTCTTCAATATGCTGCAGGTGGAGGCACTGAGACTGGGAATTCGACAGCCAAGCCGGGAGGCACTTCGAGCAAAGTTGATCTTCTCCAAATTGATGACCCGTGGGCTTCAAAAACTGCCAAGACCAAGCCATCAAAGAAGCTCTTCCAGACACGTTGGGAGGACCTCACTATGCCTAGTGACCATCCTTTGCTAGATGAGAAAGGAGCATCTGTCCCTCAAGTTCACCGCCTACAGGCTGGAGCGAAGAAAGCCGGTGCCATTTTGGCCACCAAGTCTGCAATCTCCGAGCTTGCACGCATCACTCCGTGTGCCACCATGGTGGTTGTTCTTCCTGGCAACGACAAGAACCAATACAGTGAGCTTGGCCTGAAGGTCATTGGTCCCTACGAACTGGTTTTGGAAGATGGTCATGCCAAGACGGCGTACAAACGGCTTGTCATCCTGTGGCAGCTGCATGG